CACACACACACACCACCCCCTCCCCCACCCCCACCCCCACCCTCACCCTCACCCTCACTGCCTGGCGCCAGGGCTCTGCTCCATCTTCACTTTTCCCTGCCCTGCTGGCCAGCCTGTTGATAAACATTGAGTTTGGAAGACCATTTGGGATGGAGGGCCAGCCCCCTTCCCCCAGCTGGGAGGCCCTGTAGAGCCCTGGGGTGCCTTGTCCAGCCAGCCCTGATTTCTGGTGACACTCTGCCCCTGCCTCCAGCAGCCGTCTCCTTTCATCTGTCAGCTCGGCCTGGAGCCTGCTGCCATCTGAGCTGGCAAGGCGGATGGAAGGAAGCATGCCCCCACCCCCAGCGGCAGTGGGCTGGCAAGCTGAGCTTTTATGTCTGTTGAGGCTATGCTCTGGCTGCCTGTGACCCAGGGGTGTCCGGGGCCAGCCTGCTTTGGCGAGTGACAGTGTGGGGGATGTGGGTCCACACTGGACAAAGAGCAGTAGTTTTCTGGGAGGGCCAGTGGGGGGGTGGGGTAGTCAGAAGTGAGGACAGGACCAAGATTGAACATGGGAACAGATGCTCTAGGACCCTGTTCAAACCTCACACAGGGACCCTTCCATCCTGGTAAGAAGTTGGCCATCTGGAAGAGGGTTGAGGCCCAGGGTGATAGCGCCTGCAGCATGGGAGAGGGCTCACCTCTCTTGCCTTCACTCAGTATGTGTTCTGGGGACTGGGAGTGAGTTATCACCCATTTCTGTCCCTGAGGCCAAGACAGGTGGTGTGGAGTTTTGTCTGTATCCACCCTTCTCTGAGCTTGGGGTAGCAGGTGGGACTGGGCCACAGTCTGGAGGCCTAGTCAGTGCTTGAGAAGTGGTCCACTGAGCTTCAGATGAGTGGTATGGAACCCTCTTCTCTTGGCCAGGGTTGTCTTCTGCTCCTCATTTGATGGAGACACCGGAGACCCATGCCAGTGGGCAGAGCTTCAGGTGGGCCCTGAGGAGAGGTGGGTTCAGGACAGGCCTGTGGGGCTCCACTCTGAGGAAATGTCCTTCCCCAAGGCCTCAGGTCCTGTGCCCCTCGGCTGGCTCTTCTGAGTACTCCTTCACCAAGGTGAGGGCCAGAAGTGGGCCCCCAGCTTGCTGGCAGATCTGGACAATGCTAGCATTCTGTCATGTCCCACAGCCTGAATGCAGTGAGAACAAGCTCTAGCACAAGCCCTCAGGCCGCAAGGGACAAATGAGCCCCTCTTTGGGGGTTTCCATGTCCCTGCCCTTGGAATCGGGTGTTGTTTTACCTTGTTAGAGGAAGGGCCCTCCACCTGGCCCAGCCCCTACCCTGAGCAGGTCTGACCCTGGCCAAACCCAGTTATGCTCAGAGTGAGAGAGGCAGCCCGTTCCCCTAGGTGTCAGTCTCTCTTCTGTGTAGCTGTGTGACTGTCAGGGTGTGAATCATGGGTCCTGGTTGGGGTGGATGCTTCAGGGCTTTCCATAGGTAGGGGAGGAAGGTGTCGTGGGACTTAGGGAGGCTCATTTGGGGGCCTATCTGGAGCTCTGCCTCTTGAAACTGGCCAGCGTGGACACCACCCAGTCAGCTGCCCACATCACCCCCAGCCCCTTATTACAGCAGTGTGAACTGTCCCTTGGAAGGTAAGTATAGACCTGTAGAATAGGCTGAGTGACTGGCCAAATACCCCTGCCTAGCAGTGGGGACAGAGCCCCTTCTTAACCCCTCTGCTTCCTTCCAGGCAGTGCCAGGCAAGGGGTCCTGTGGGAGGGGATTGTAGTGAATGCCAGCCCTGCTGTAAGCCTTCTCCTAAGCAGCTTCTGAGGGAGACCCTGTGGCCAGCAGTGGATGAGGAGCAGATGGAGCCCAGGGCAGGGCCAGCTGGGCTTCCCTGAAGAGCTGAGCAGAGTGGGGCCATAGCCCCCTGTGAACTCTGGCCAGATTCTGTAAAGTAGGGACACACATTGGGGGTTCAGAGGGTGGGCCTGCAATGGCTGAGACTTACACTGTGCCCCCTCCTAGCCCCTGGGCTTCCAGTGCCTCTCCAGAGGCACTAGGGCAGCTTCCCCCCAGGGCCCTGCTTAGGAGCTTTGATGCAGGCTTCACAATTGGGTTTCAAAGCATTCACCGCCCTTGTTTGTGTCCCTCACTGTGGGCTGGAGCTGAGGTTTCAGCGTTCCTAGGCCCAGCCTTTGAAGCTTGTTCTTATTAATCTTTTAACATCCCCACCCCAGCCCCCACCCCACAGCCTGAGGCACTCCCAGCAGCTTGGGGCTGAACAGCTTTCAGCCGTCAGCCAGCAGCTGCTGCCCCTTTCAGGAACTGGCTTCCGAAGTAGTCCTGAGTTTGGCCACATAAGCTAGGGCCCATTCCCTCACCCCTTTACCCCCTTAGGTATGAAGAGAGGAGGATGTGATACTATGACACTGGGATGGGGTGGGGGAAGCTCTTGGGCTTTACAGCCCTGATGCTGCATCATTGTCCAGCCATCTTTTGCCAGGGAGGCCTCAGTCATGTGCCCAAGCATTAGAGAAGTGACTTGCTGTTCTTGCTGCACACCCCCACCCCACCCCACCCCCACCTGTGTCCAAGCAAGTGGGGCCAGCCCCTAAACCGCTACCCCCTCTGAATGGCTGTGGCAAAGGAAGCTGACATCAGGCATCACACTTGGGTTTCAAAGAGTTGGTGGCTGTCCAGTGGCTAGCCCTTCGCTGTATGACCTAGCCTTGCTCAGTAGACAGCTGTAGCCTAGGTGGTGCTCTTTCCTAGACACATCTCAGCCTGGGACTCAAAGGGAGCTCACCTCAAGCCTGAGTCTGTTCTTGAGGAAGCTCCCAACTCCCAGCAGGCCCAGCCCTCACAGACCCCTAGTTATGGGGGCAGCACTGGAGAAAGATAGTGATCAGTGGGAAGGCACAGGCCTCCATCTCATTCCTGGACAGCAGCAGGCTGTCCTTGGACCACATCCACAGGACATCCTCCATCTCTTGACTCCATCCATCCAGTCCTGACTCTGACATGTTGGGCAGGATATCCTGAGTCACAGTGAGCTTTAAGACTGACCTCCTGAAAGTGTTGGTTTTGTCTTTTTAGACAAGGTCTCACCATGTAACCCCGGGCTGTCCTCGAACTCACAGCAATCCTCCTGCCTCACCCTCCCCAGTGCTGGAATCCCACTATACCCAGCTTTGGTTATTGCTGGGCAGGAGGCAGAGAGAAAAGTGAAGGGAAATGGAGGAATTCATTCACACAGATGAGCACAACTCCCCAGCTGGTGTTTGGGGCTGTCCTGTGGATGTGGTCCAAGTTAGGCGGCTTGCCTGAGGAAAGGGGTCTCACCAAGACCCCCAGCCTCATGGAGCCTCTGTTTGTCTGCTGAGCTCTCTGCCTTCCTACAGGCAAATCTTTTCCCTGCAGCCCTTGTGCACTTTGGAACAGAGGAACCAGCAGGTGAGTGGGAGCTGTACTCTGCTAAGCCCAGAAAGCCATTCTTCAGCATATCTGAAGCTCCCAAGCTGGATGCTAAGGGATGTGGGTCTAGGGGATGTGTAGCTTGATACCTGCCTCCCTGGGCAACACCTGTTGAGCCACCCCCTCCTGGAGCTGAGCAAGTGAGTGGGAAGATTCTTGTGGCTGAGGTGGGCTTGGGATTTTGCAGGTGTCTATTTGGAGCCTGGGCTGCTGGCACACACCATCTCCCCATCTGCAGCTGACATGCTGGTCTCGAGGTAAGTACACAGTGCAGGAGGAGATGCCTCCAGGAGCACCTGCCACTCTGATCTGGGCCTTTTCCCCAGGTGCATGTCCAGGGCTGCTAGGTCTACACCACTACAGCTAGACCTTGACCCTGTACCTCTTGAGTCCAAGCCAGCTGCTGAGGGGTCAGTGAGCACTCCTGAGACCATCCCAGGGTCTGACCAGCCTGTGAAGAGGAGCTTGGACAAGGTGCCCAAGTGGCTGAAGCTGCCAGGTGCCTACTGTGGGTTGGCTGGGTGGGGCAGGGTAGCTGGCAGGAGCCTAGGACCTGCAGTAAACCTGGTGTGTTTGTCCTGCAGCCAGCAAGAGGTGAAAGCTGCTGGGCCAGAGGTACTGTCTGCCAGCTATAGGACCTCATCCCTACCTGGAGCAGGAATAAAGACACTCAAGTCCTTTGAATCATCCTTTCTGTAGAAAAAGCTACCATGTCTTGTTCCATCTGCTCTCATCCATGGCTAGCTACCTTCCCACTCCTGGGGAGTCTGGCTTATGGTATGGCTGTGGTGTTAACAAAGGCTAAGGTACCCCCAAAAGGCCTGGTAGTCCAGAGCCCTAGGCACACTGGCTTTTCACGTCTACCTGGCTGATCTCATCAATTCCCCTTTTAGGAAGATGGAAGTACAGAAGGAAGGGTCTCCCTAGCAAACTAACCTGCAACCTCAGGCTAATTTGAAGTCCTCCAGAGCTGCAGGAGGAGGGGAAACCAAGAAAGCTATGTTCCTGAGACTGAGCTCTGACCCCAGAGCTAAATTCCCCTTCCCTGGACTCTTACAGAGCAGCTTGGAGAGCTCCAGAGAGGGAATTCAGGTCATCCAGAAGGGTGCTGGGATCCAACATGGCTGAGCAGTGGTGCAAGCAGAGCTGGCTGGTTATCACCTGAGCTGTTAGTGGGCTGTCAGGCTTGGGTGGAGTTCCCTGGTCAGTAAGGGTGGCCTGTAGCTGGACAGGGATGAGGAAAGGCACAGCACAGCCTCAAGGCAGGTGCAGGGTTTAGCAGCAGGTTCCCACATCCCCTCACATTTTTACTGTGTCCTGGCCCTCACTTTAACCCACCATGGCCCAAGGCAGGAGTGACATTTTTTAGGCAAACCAGCCATGTGTGTGAGAGCTCTGATTTCCTTCCAGGCCATGGGCACATGTGTCTTGTTACCCTTCACAGCATTCAGCCTGCATCCTACCAAGTTATTGTAGATGAAAGATAATGGGGTAAGGCTTAAAGCAAATTGACTGGTTGATTAACAGCAACAAGAAGGAAGACAATTTATTGATGTTTTGTGAGGACAAAGTTACAGCTCAGGGAAGTATCAGGTGTGTAAAAAGCTGCACACCGGCTTTGGTGTTGGGGTGGTAAGGCAGCTGGTTGGTTTGAAAACACATGGGCTATCAAGGGTAGCTGTGGCCAGGAGCAGACCAGTCCCCCCCCCCCAACACACCTGCCTCCCTAGGACCCACAGGGACTGTCCCCAGGAGTCTGAACCACAAACCAAGAGGGTGCCAAGAAGGGTGGCAGCTGCCAGGATCTTGTCATCCCCCAAGGCTAGGGAACAATGTTGGGACTAAAGTGTCAGTGCTGGTACGGATCTAGCTCAGACAACTGCAGGCCATAGGAGACATAGCAGCTTGCAGGGAGAATACTGGCTTCCTGGGGGTGGCCTGTAAGCGGTGGATACCCCTAGAAGTCCAGGAGCTGTGAAGGAAAAGGGTACTTGGAGTAGTGGCCTGGCACTCCCTAGGCCACTGCAGCTGCAATGTGTGAACTCCACACCCACATACCAGCTGAGGAAGCACCTTCTCCAGCTGGTCCACATCCACCAGAGTCATGTCTTCTGCCTGGGCCTGCCGCACCCCCCGGATTGCTGCTTCTGATGTGATACAGAAAAGTGAAATAGAGTGCTGGGCACTTGAGTGGCCCTACTCCACCCCCACCAGCTTCTCAAAAGTGCAGAGCTCAGTACTCAAGGGAAGTGGAAAAATTTCCCACCAAAAGATAAAACCAGCAACCTGAAGTGTTCTGATGGTTGCCAGCTCTGGGCTCACCCACTACGAAGATTCTCAGCAGCTCCGCCATAAGCTGTAGGGCATCCCCACTGACTGCAAAAGGAGAGTAGGTTAGAAAGTTCCCCCACTGCCAGTCCTTGCCTCCTGCCCCGCTGGTAGCACCCACACCTTTGGTCTTGTCATCTCTGAAGTGCAGGTGCAGCAGTCTGCTCACCAGCTCCTGGGGGAAGCAGGGCTCAGTGCTAGCCAGCCACAGCCTCGCTGGCACCAGAGGCAGTGACTGGATAGAGGTTGAGACTTCCAGCTGGAGTTGCCATGTGAGGCCGCTCTTTCAGTAGGAGACTGGTGAGGTGCTCAAGAAATCTCTTTGAAAGGGACAAGAAATTGGGAGAGGGCCCACCCCAGTTACCTGCTTTCTGGGGCTCCAGGGAACAGGAGGGGAAGAGGAGTGAAGAAATGATTATCATTGCTTCCTTGCTCTCCCTTGGGAGGAGGCATCTGCTCCTGAGGGTGGCTGGCCCCTTTGAAGGTCTGCCCCAATACTGCTTAGCTTTAACCAGCCCAGGACAGTACAGGAGATGGCAGAGAAAGGGGGCAGCAGCATTGGGTACCCGGGAGTCCAGACTGGAAGGTACAGTTGTCCAAGGCTGGAGGGTCCCTGGCAAGAAACACGAGGGCGGAGCGCCACCTGCTGGGCTCGCTTACCTCGCATTCTATGAGGAAGGCAACAGAACCCACCTCCAGGACTCCTACCCGGGTGCCCAGGCCTCAAAAGTCCAGCGAATCGGCCAATGCACAGGCCTAGACGACTCGGGAAACCTCCACGTACAAGAAGACGTGGCCTGCGTCGGAGCCTGCGACACGCTAAGTTCCTGACCTCGCCAAGTAGTCTTCGGGCCGGGGCTACTGCTTCTTGCGTCACTCTCACAGTTAGGGGCCAGGGCTGTCGGCACTCGAGCATTCCAAGCGGGCTCAGTCCGTGCCCATCCCCGGGTGGGTGCCCCTCCAGTACTGACCCAGGCCTCTTCGACATCGGTGGCCCCGAGTGCCACTGGGACCCGCATAGCACAACCTCTCTTCCCCGATGGCCAAGTCCCTCGGACATGAAGAGTGCTCGGCACCTCCTAGCCTTCTGCCGAAGGGCAAAATGACACGGGCCGGACGGGGTGTAGGGTTCAGTTGGCCCTCTGCACGGGCTCGCTCGACCTCGCAGAGAAGTCGACAGAACCTGAGCCACGCCCCCGGACCTGACCGTGTGGGGCGGCTCTAAGGCTTCCTGGCTATTTGCGGCGCATCAGACTCTGCACACATCTCCGTTCAGTCTCAGATCGGTCTGCCCTCCCACTCTTAGAAGAATGGGCAAACATCGCGGGTACGCACTGGTGTCACAAGAGGGCTGTGAGGTCCACACCCACCTATCTCCCACCGCCAACTCTCACCTTCCGGAAGCCTGCGCTGGATCTCTCCATGATCGCTGCCTCCAGGCTACTTCCCCGTAGATCCGCCCTTGCATCCCAGCCAATGAGCATGAAACGCGGGCTCTCGTGGTCACGCCCTCAATCCCAGCCAGTTAGCACGGAGAGCACCATCTGAGAGTCCCTCCTCTAGCTCCCAGCCAAAGAATGAGAGCGCCCTCCGGGAGAACCGCTCCCATCCCCTATCACTGAGCCAGTGTCGCTGCCTCTGCTCCTCCGGCTTGTTCCGGTGCTTGTTCCCGCCCTTCGCTCTCATTGGTCTGTGGCTAGCCCGGCAGTGCCTCCTGGGATTCAGTCTTCGCTGCCCTTCCCAGCGCTCCCCGCTCTTCCTGGATACTGAAACACCGGGAGTCGAGGTAGAGCGTGGCAGTACTGAAAGGATTGGTAGTGCAAGCATTGGGTGGGCTTGTGGTCGTGTGACGCAGGCCTTGTTCCTTGGCTTTCCCCTCGGGGACCACGACTCCTGTAGCTGCCCCTCCACCCTCCTGTTCTACCCTCCTGGGTCCCTTCGACCCGCACCTCTTTTTCCCGTCTGTCTCCAACGCTGATCCTCCGGGGAGAGCCGGTACACGCGAGCCCTGCCTCTAGGAGCATGCGGGCAAGGACCCCTGCACTCGGGGACATGGAGGAGCTCCGGCGGTCCTACAGCCGCCTGTGCAAAGAGAGTGGGGCCGAGCCACAGGAGGTGGTCCTGCGGCAGCTTCACCAGCCTCCTCAGAGCCGACTGGATCTGTCGGGGCACAGCCTGACGGTGGACACCTGCAAAGCCTTGGGCAAGCTGCTGCAAAACCAGACAGTGTGGACGGAGCTGGTTCTCAGCGATTGCATGCTGAGCGAGGAAGGTGGGCATGAGGGCATCTTTGCAGCTTCAGGCTGGGGTTTGGCACTTTGTTAGGGGCTAACCTGAGAGTGGGTTCTCTGGCTTCTTTTGGCCTTCCAAACTGCCAGCAGGAATTCTGTGCCACCTGATTGGTTCCTTTCCTCTTTATATACTAGTGGCAGTATTGTCCCCTCAAAACTAGACATGAGGATAGTTTCTTTACAATGGAGGAGAAATCCCAACATTCCCTGACTTGCAGTTTGAGGGCTCTGGCACAAGAGAGGTCAGATCTAGGGGCTGACCCTGTCCCTGGAAGGGCTGCAGGTGTTTCAAAGGTAAACCTAGAACTAAGTGGGAAACTCCTTTCCAGTGTGCACACAACATCTGGACAGTTGTCCCTCTGAGAACTGTCTTGCAATGGGTCCCCAAAGTGGGCCCTGAGCATAGACGCACAGAGTGACCATGTACATATCCTTATTCAGGGGCCACAATGCTGCTTCAAGGGCTGTGTGTCAACACTGTCATGCGACTTCTGGATCTGAAGGTGAGCAGGTGTCCTCCAGGAAGTAGAGGGGAACACAGGATCCCAGGGTCTTCATATTGCTGTGTTGAAGGACAGTGCTCACATAAACACAGACTGGTCTCAGGATACCCACCAGGATCACAAAAAGAGCATGATTTTGCCAAGAGCTTACCTCCCTGGTCTTGTCCACTGCCTGACCAGGGCCATGTGAAGCACACATGCTATTCCAAGCTGAGCCAGGGTGACAAGAGTGACTGGCCAGGCCATTTCTATCCAGGGCAATAATCTTCGAGCTGAAGGGGCCGAGGCTCTGGGAAAATTCCTCCGCCAGAATCAGTCCATTCAGAGGTAGGACATGGTCCTAGACACACTACACTTCCCAGCCCTTTGTGGCTCAGGGCTGGCCCCAGAAAACATGGTCCTGTGGCCTGTTTGCTCCTCAGGCCAGTTGTCCATGTTGTACATGTGTTGGTGGGAGTAGGTGGGTGGAAATCACTCAGGAGGGTCCAGCTTCTGCCAGAGACCCCTGAACATACTCCCCACCCCCTCAACCCCCCACAGGGGCCCTGGACCCTGTGTAACAAGGTACCCTGCTGAGCCAAGCACCCTCTCATCTCCCTTACTGCAGCCTCACCCTGGAGTGGAACAACTTGGGCACATGGGAAGAGGCCTTCACCACCTTCTGTAGGGGCCTGGCAGTCAACAGTACCCTGCGACACCTGGACCTCCGAAACAACCAGATCAGTCACAAAGGTGCAGAGGAGCTGGCCCTGGCCCTACAAGGCAACACCACTCTCCAGCAATTGGGTGAGGCCCCTACATTGGGCTGTACCCATTGCTTCTTTATCCTTATGCTGGGGGCTTGCTGGTTAGCTCATTTGTTTAAGCGCCTGCTGGAGCAAACTCAGTCAGGTGCGGGGACCACGGTTCAGTCCCCAGCTCCCAATTGCCCTTAAGGCAGCCTGAGCCAGCCAAAAAAAATCCTTATCCTCATGCTGCAGGAGGGGCTGGCTTGGGAGCCTAATTTTTTGGCAGTCCGCCCATAGGAACATCATAGCAAGGCCAGCATCCCTCACCCACAGATGTTTTCTGTCAAGTGACAACAGGTTTCTTTCTAGACTTGCGCTGGAATAACATTGGCCTCTTGGGAGGTAGGTCTCTGGTGAACTGTCTACCCAGCAACAGAACCCTGTGGAGGCTGGACCTGGCTGGGAACAGTGTCCCTGGTGACGTCCTCAGAGCTGTTGGTATGGGTGCACAGGGCTGTTAATTGCTTACATTTGGTGGGGGGGGGGTGCGGGAGAGAGGCCAGAAGCCCTTTAATAGAGGGCCATTCAGGAAGGCAGGGGTGTAGCTCAGGGCTCAGGACAGCTAAGCGTATCTTACAAGTAGCCTAACCTAGGTGGAAAGAGCTGAAGGTGAACAGCCACAGCCAAGCTGTGTGCTCACTGCCCAGTGCTGCCTGCTGGAGGGCTTGCTTGTGCTTGCTCAGTTCTTGGTACTTGCATAGAAGAAGGATCACCCACCTCATAGCCAGGGAGACTGAGGTCCTATATGTTTGAGCCCTTACCCTTAACAGCAATATTAATGCCTGAGGGGTGCCTAGTCACCCCTAAGTTTGTGACTGTGCATGTGAGCAGTGTGAGTGTGGGGCTGCCTGGCCTGTGCTCTTCTGTCAGAGCTATTGCTTCCACATTGTCCTGCCTCTGCTGACCCCCTAGAGACAACACAATAGCCTCAGGCTTAGCAAGTTCATAGCCCCTGGCTCCTTACCTATTCCACAGTGCCAGCTACTGAAGGCTGAGCTTGGGCCTAGACCTCAGCCTATTCCATATCCTTAAGCTTTGGAGTCACTGCCTCCTGATGTCTGCGTGACTCTTCTGTCATCTCCAATTCTTGTCACCAGCTGCACCTCAGTATAGCCAAACTGTTGTATTTGGTTTTGACCGTAGTCACTGGGTCTTTTAGAACACAGTGTCTACGTCTTAAAGTCATACAGCAACCCTTGGGCTTCGATGTGGGGGCAGAGGCCACAGGATGGTGCTCATCTCTGGTGATAGAGAAGACCTTTCCAGCAAGTGTGAACAAACACACACACACTCACTCTGTACCCCTGCTGCACTCAGCCTCTGTCCCACTGAAGTACTTAACCTGTTAGTGTCCTGAAGGTGGGGAGTCAGATTTGTTGGGGATATGTTTGGTTCCAGCTTGCAGTGCAGCCAAGCAGGGCAGGGTGAGCATTGGGTCTGAGAGGTTGAGGAGTCCGCATTTAGTCTCCTACCTCCAACAGAACAAGCCATGGACCACAACCAGGAACAGCATACTGCCTTTCAGGAGAACCAGGCCCGTACCCATATCCTCAGCAGGGAGGTCCAGCACCTCCAAAAGGAGAAGTCCAAGCAGGTAAGCACAGTGCTCCCTGCCCAGCCGGGCTGCTGTGATTGAAGACCTGGCTGGCTTCTTCTTCTGCGGCCCCTGTGGCTACCATCATCCATTCTCACAGATCCTATAGCTCCTTTGAGCTGCCCATACCCAGGACTAAACTGTCTCTTGGCCTGACCTGAGAGTCAACTTCCCAGCCTCCCTCTATAGGGACCACCTCACTTTGAATGAGACAGTGGCCCAGGGAGGCTGAGTCCTTTGGTGCATGGTGGCGTCGGGAGCCTGCCTTCCTTTTCTGACCAGAACTGAATGGGAAGGCTCTGGACTGACAGGGCTTTGGTTGGCTCTGTTCCCAGTTTGTGGATTTGATGGAGACAATTGATAAGCAGAGAGAAGAGATGGCCAAGAGCAGCCGGTAAGTGGGCCCAGGATTGTGGGAGGTAGGGTTTCAAGATAGGCCTTGTCTGGCCCTGTTTGGGAATGGCCATAGTGGGCTTCCCAAAGTGGTGGATAGAGGGTTAAGACAGGTAACAGCACATTTCCCCAGCTCAGTTCCTGTGTACTGGAGTCCTTGATGCATGACAGCTGTGCCTGAGGCCAGGGAGTCCCTGGGTTTCCCAGCCTCTCCTCTCTCCCTACAGGGCAGTGGCAGTGCGTGTGGGGCAGCTTCAGGAAGCCCTGAATGAGAGGCATTCCATCATCAAATCTCTCAAGGCCAAGTAAGCAGCTGTGGATGGGTGGGGTTCAGAGTCCTGTGGAAACTGCAGGTCTACCCACAGGGTAGAGAATATACAAGCAGAGGTGGGTGTTGACTCAGGAGGGCTTTCTGCAAGAGCCAAGCACTGGCTGGCATTCGGATAGGGCCTGGCAAGTATGAAATGGGAGACTGGTAAGGCAGGTCACATTCCTGATGGAGCCATGCAGGGGCTGGCCCTTCCTCTTTGCAGGTTGCAGATGGCTGAGGCTGCCCTGGCTTTGTCTGATCAGAAGGTCCAGGACCTGGGGGAGATGCTGGCCACGGCACAGCAGGAGTACAGGCTAGGACAGCAGGTTAGGGGCAGGCCTGTGGTGGGCAGGTGGAAGGTAGGGCAGCAGGGTGATTAGATGTGGCCACTTTATTCAGGAAGCTGCAGAACGGGAGTCTAAGCTCCTCAGAGACTTGTCAGCTGCCAATGAAAAGAACCTGCTGCTTCGAAACCAGGTATGAGGCGCGTGGGGCCAGCCACCCAGGGTACCCAGGGCAGGAGCAGTAGGCTGCTCCAGTTTCTTTCCCTACTGCATACTTTCCAGGTAGATGAGCTGGAGCGGAAGGTGAAGTCTCAGCAGGAGCAACTCTTTCTGACCAGGCAGGAGCTGACCCACACATCAGCTGAGATGAAGATGCGAACTGTCCAGGCTGAGGGTGGGACATAGGCAGGCCTGCCATTGAGGGGACAGGGAGCCTCAGGAATGGAACACCCCTGAGAAAACTCACCCTTTCTCTTCCCCACTGGGCCTCCAGAGCGCCTGGACATGGAGAAGAGAAGGGCCCGGCAGAGCTTAGAGGACTCTGAGAAGCTACACTTGAAGGAGGTGCCTTCCTAGTGCTACCATCTGTCCCAGCTCTCTACGCTGCCTGTAGATTGCTCTCATTGTGATTCTTTGTCCCCAGAGCATGCCTTTTGGAGGTTCCCTCACTACCCTTGAGTTGTTCCTTAAGAATTAGAGTGGGTGTCAGACCCAGAGCCATCTGGTGGGACTGGCAGGTAGTTGGGCCTGTGCTAGCTGCAGCTAAAGAGGCACCTACCTCCCTTCCTCAGGGTGCATGTTCTGGGGAACTAGCACTCAGCCATGTCTTTCATCCTTGGTTCCTGCCAGGCCCTTTGGGCAGCCCTTTCTCAAGAGATGCCTGCTTTCCAGGGTAGGGAGAGCTGGGGGAGCCTCTGCCTGCCTGACTGATAACACACACTGGGGTAGGTGGAGTGCATTACCCGCCACCTAGAGGAGAGTCAGAAGGCCATGCAGGAGAGGGTGCACAGGCTGGAGGCCCTTCGGCTGTCCCTGGAGGAGGTGAGCCCATGGGGACGAGGGCCAAGCTCTGGCCCTAGGTGAGCTAAGGGTGGAAGCACACCCTGGGTTTTCTGGCCTTGGACTCAGGAACATAGCTTCTTGCCCTTAGCCTTAACAAGCCTCACTCTGGGTACTTACTCACCAGTGTCTGCAAGAGGCCAGAGAGGCTTAGGGTGGCATTTAGGCTCCCTGAACAATGAAGCCCCTACCCAGTGAAGGAAGGGTAGCTGTGTAACCCTTGGGTGGCTCTTGGTAAAAGGTGAAAGCCTTATATGATCTGAAGAGAAACCAGAGTATTGGGAGGGTAATCTCCCCGATTGGCTATTGGGTGTCCCGGAAGGGGTCCTGGGTCAGGGGCAGGAGGACAGGCTAACAGATGGCTATCCATGGTGCAGGAGCTGAGCCATGTGAAGGCGGCGGCACTCAGTGAGCGCGGCCAGGCTGAGGAGGAGCTCATGAAGGCCAGGAACCAAGCTCGCCTGGAGGAGGTGAGCTGCCGCTTTAAGTGTACACAACCTAGTGCAGTGCCTTGCAAGGGAGCCAGGCCCATGGCAGGAGTGGATAAGACCAGGGCTGTCCTCCCCAGATACAGGGCTCTGAGTTAGGATATGAGGTGCCAGGAGCCAGCAGGACTGGACCTGAGCCTGGAGTTGGAGAGCTTGGACAAGATGATGGCAGACAGCAGGCAATGGGTGGGACTAACCTCGGGATGCTTCTGGAGGCCCTGGAGAGTTCAGTGGCTTCAGAACAGGATAAGTGATAACTTGGATGATACCATGGGCATCCTCCCTTTGTGTGTGTGTGGGGGCTCCATCTGCATGCAGATGATCCCCTGCTGTGATCCCCTGCATGTGCAGTAGCATTTCTTGTGCTCACAGCAACAGCACCTGGCACACATGGAGGAGAAGCTGCGGCTGCTGGCGCAAGCACGAGATGAGGCACAGGGTGTCTGTACACAGCAGAAGCAGATGGTAGCCGATGCCCAAGCACGGGCTGGCCAACTCCACCTGCAGGTAGAGGGGCAGCAACGGCGCCTGGAAGAGCTGCAGCAGGTAACCAGGCTTTGGAGTTCATAGGTTCTGGGATGCCCTGCCCTACTTCTGTCTCATCCTCCGTGCTCTGCAGGAGCTGAGCAGCAAGGACCAGGAAAAGGTGACTGAGGTGAGCAGAGTACGGGTGGAGCTGCAGGAGCAGATAGGCCGTCTGCAAGCTGAGTTGGCTGGCCAAGAGGCACTGAGGGAGAAGGTGGCTGCCCTGGAGCGACAGCTGAAAGGTGACTGCATTGCTGACTGGAGGGCTGAGCTGAGACAGGGTCTCAGCCCCAGGGCCGGGCCCAACTCACTGAGCATCTCACCTACAGTGATGGTTAGTGACCACCGGGAAGCGCTGCTGGACAAGGAGAGCGAAAACGCATCCCTCCGGGAGAAGCTACGGCTCAAAGAGGCAGAGGTTGCACGCATCCGGGACGAGGAAGCCCAGAGGGCAAGCCTCTTACAAAATGCCATCCTGACTTATGTGCAGGGGACCTCTCTGAGGTCCCTGAGCCCTCCAAAGTGAGGGGAGACAAAGAGGTCACACAGCACCATAGCGCTGCGCCCAAGGAGGCGCTCATTGGTACTCATCCCACAGCGGTGCAGCGCAAGAGACCTGACGGGCGAGCTCAGCAACCGCCCACCAAAGTGAGGCGGGAAATACAGAACTTTTTTATTAAATACAAAAAAAGTTATGCACTTAGTGATACGTTTTGGCCTAGCGCCTTTCTTCATCAGCCGGCGTCTCAGTACCGCGGGAGTGCCCTCCGAGGTGGGGATGGGTGGCCCCACTGCTACCAGTAGCGGGGAGTGCTAGGGCGCTGCCGGACTGCAAACTGCTGCAAACACCTGCACGCAACGGCCCAAGGCAGGGTGGGCGGCGCCTCTGGGCAGCTTAGCCCGCCTGCCCGCCCAGGTCTGTAGCCAGGTCTGTAGCCTTGCCGCTCCAGTGCCTCCCGTCCCTGCCCCTCGGGTGCTCCGACCCGCGCATGGCAGGTCGGTGGGCCCGCGAACGCCTTTGCCGCGACCCTCCCCACCGCCGATCTCCACTGCCTGCCCCGCCCGCTGTGCGCTCGGCTGTCTCCGCGCCCGGCACTCGGTGGCGCTCGGCTGTCTCCGGCCGCTCGCTCGGCGCTCGGGTCCGCGGCCGCTGCGGCGCCGGGCATTTCTCCGCAGCACGGCTCGCGGCCGCGCCCGCCGCTGCCTGGCCCCGAGCCCATGCAGGCCATCAAGTGCGTGGTGGTTGGTGACGGGTGAGTGCAGCACGGGGGCTGGGGCTGGTGGGGCTGGCCCGCACCTCGGCTCGGGGCGCGGCCCGGCGGGGTGAGGCGGGGTCCCCCAGCACGAGGTCCAGGCTGGGCGGACCCCGCATCCTCATTGCGGCCCAGGGGCGAGAGCGTGGCTTACCGACCTCTGACCGGGGCCCACCTGATGCTGCTTAGTCCCAGCCCCAAACCAGCCGGTGGGTGGGGCCGGGCCTCACCTGCGCGGAACCTTAGACAGCCGCGCCCACCTGGGTGCTGAGAGCTCCCGCCACACACCACCTGAGCCGAGGCAGAAAATCTGATTTAGGTCTGAGAGCCTCTGTTCTACTCCAACCATTTCGCACCTGAAAGCTGACCTGCCCAGGTCGTCCTCTTGTAGCTTTAAGTGGCTGCAAATCTGTTGGGCTGGGACCCCTGTCATCAGCCCTGCCACCTAACCTGGCCGCAGGCTCCATAGTGAGCCACGTGTGCTGGTGTGCCGGTTTCTGTCCGCAGCGCCGTGGGGAAGACATGCTTACTGATCAGCTACACGACCAACGCCTTCCCTGGGGAATACATCCCCACTGTGTGAGTGCTTGCAGTTGGGAGGGGAGGGGCGCTAGGCGTGCAGGCTGGGCGCACTTGTGTGGGGCTCCCTTGGGTACAGGGTTCTGTTCCAGTGGGCCCGATTCTGAGCTTCCTCAGTGGGACAGAGGTCCCCTCACCCAATTCGGTGCAGGCATGAGGACACGAGCTGGCTGGCTTCTGTGGCCTGGGACTCCTGCTCAGCCCTGTCCTTTCTCACTCTGCTCTGTAGTTTTGACAACTATTCAGCCAACGTGATGGTGGATGGGAAGCCAGTCAACCTGGGGCTGTGGGACACCGCTGGGCAAGAGGACTATGACCGGCTGCGGCCACTCTCCTATCCCCAAACTGTAGGTGACAATAGGGCTGGTCCCAGGAGATGGGTGGCTTTGGTAGATGGAAGGCACAGGGGCAGTTTACATCCCTCCTGACCGCTCCTGCCTGTCCCTTCCTCCCAAGGACGTCTTTCTGATCTGTTTCTCCTTGGTGAGCCCAGCTTCCTTTGAGAATGTTCGTGCCAAGGTAGGGCAGGGCTGGAGGAGTCTGCCTGGTAGAGGGTTTGCTTCAGGAGGTATACTGACAGAACAGGGGTCTCTTGCCTGAAGGCAGCTTGTCCTTCAGAGGCAAATGAGGTGCTGTTCCACTGTGGCCACTGAGGGTGGCCCTGGGGGAGGGACAGCAGGGAGTGATGGAATGGAAGGGCATCTTACCACTGGGGGTGATACTCCCAGAGTGGGAGCCCCTGGTACACCACAGGGCTTCCTGGCTGGGCACTTTTGTTCCTGCCATTTCTACACCAAGTCACCAATCCCACCCTGGCTACCCTATGAGGCAAAAAGAACCAAGCATGTGTCCAGGGATAGTGAGGTCTCAAGAGGTGTGATTTGGGCATGACTAGCAAACTGCTCTTAGGCATGGAGGGCCACAATGCCTTCAGGGTCAGAGCCTTTGTCCCCACAGTGGTACCCAGAGGTGCGGCACCACTGCCCCCACACGCCAATCCTATTAGTGGGTACCAAGCTCGATCTTCGTGATGACAAGGACACCATTGAACGGCTGCGGGACAAGAAGCTGGCACCCATCACCTACCCACAGGGCCTGGCCATGGCCCGAGAGATTGGTAAGCACAGCAGGGCCCAGGTGGAAGAGGAGAGGGTGTGTGCTCTGGGGTGGTGGCTTACTCTGCCTGTGCTGCCCTCCACTCCCACCCCACTGCCCCAAACTCTCCTGTCCTCTGCCTCACTGTCCCTTTCCCCATCTGCTGTCCTAGGCTCTGTCAAATACCTGGAATGCTCGGCTCTAACCCAGCGGGGCCTGAAGACGGTGTTTGATGAGGCCATCCGGGCAGTGCTCTGCCCACCTCCTGTGAAAAAGCCAGGCAAGAAGTGCACGGTCTTCTAGAGCCCCAGTCCCTGGGCCAGCCTGGCAAAGGAGCAGCCCCTGGGCCAAATGTGCTGTTGTGTTGAGCTGTCTAGTGTCCAAGTCTGCTGTGGGGGGTGGCGGGGGGAGGGGAAGCATGGGGACAAGGCTGGGGTGACAGGATCCTGTCTCCTCTACCTTCTCTTTCTGGGGTGCAGCTTCAGCCTTCCCTGGCCCTCATGGGAGCTGGGAGGGAGCAGGGTCTCCCTCAAGGCTGTAGGGACAGGTCCAGGGCAGCCCCAGGACGGGCTTCCCTGATGGGTGAGGAGGTTGTCCATTGGGTCCAGGAAGGGGTAGCCCCTTCTTATTTTATACAATAAACATTCTTCACCAATGTCTCCTATCTCTCACTACCCTCTACCTGGGTTTGGGAGTGCTCCTAACCATCCCAAATAGCAGGTGCAGGACACTGGGACTCTCTCCAGCAACACCTTAGAGTACAAGTTCCCAGAGAAGGGCTCTGAGCTTGGTCTCTTACTCCCAGGTAAGAGGAGAGACTGCCAACACCTAGAGACTAGATCAAAGCAGGGCAAGTACCTATAGCATCTTTAGGTGCTGACAGGCCTGATGCTGCCCTGGGATCTAGTGAGAGTGGGAGACACACTGGAGTGTGGAGGGCTGGGCTGTTCAGCAGCTCCCAGTGGTGCTCAGAAAGGATGGCCAGCTGGAACCCTAGGAGATTCCCAGCAGTTTCCACAACACCCTCTACCTCCTCTGTGTTTGTATTTTTTTATTTTTTTTTGGTGGAACCGGGGATTGAACTCAAGCCCTTGCGCTTGCCAGGGAAGCGCTTATTCCACTGAGCCATCTCCCCGGCCCCTGTGTTTGTATTTTTGTTTTTGTTTTGAGACAGGGTCTCTAGGTAGTTCAGACTGACCTTGAACTCCTGCAACTCCTGCCTCAGCCTCCTGAGTGCTGAAATTACAGGCATGTCTGGCCTCCTTTGGCTGATATTAAAGGCATCAGGCAGAGGGGCCACGGCATATACAGAGGGATGGAGACTGAGTAACAACTGGTGTTGTGTGCCAGGGTGGTTCAAGCCCAACCTGGGCTACATATTGAGTTCAAGTTCAGCCTGAACAATACAGTGAAACTCTTGTCTTAAGAAACACAAAAATTGGGCTGGCCAAATAGCTCAATGGATTAAAGTGCCTGCAAGTAGGTGCAGGGGCCTGGGGTTCAATCCCCGGGCCTGCTGTGCTGGTCCTGCCCCCAGGGTATGCTAGGATGGCAATTGAGACTGGGTGTGGTGGTGCATGCCTGTAATCCCAGCTCTAGGGAGGCTATAAACAGGCAAATCATTATGAGTCTGATCTAGTAGTGAGACCCTGAACATCCTGTAGATCCTTCCCCAAAATACAAAAAAAAAAAAAAAAAAAAAAAAAAAATCCACAAAAATGCAGACATATAACATCCTAATTAGTTTTACACAGTCATCTATGCTTCAGTCATATCTAGCCAGATGTTACTGCATATCTTAACAGATCCAATGACACCAGCTTAAAAATCAGCCACAGTGTACATATTTCCACCTTAGAAGTGGGCAAATTCCATAGGTCAGGGCTCGATTAATCATCAACATCTTGACTTGATGTGACAGAGTAAGGGTAGAAATAACTTGTGTTCCATCCCTGTCCTCATTCCTTTGTATTATTATTATTTTTTTATGTATTTGGTACAAGGTCTCACTACACAGCTTGGACCACAGTAGTGGTCTGTTTTCAGCCTCCCCACACTGGGATTATAGGCGTGCTTCCCCAGGCCCAGTCTCAATGGCTGGCTCAGTGTGCCTGGGGGCGGGGCCAGCACCAGCTAGGCATGTAGTGCTGGGGATCGAACCCCGGTCCCTGCACTTGCCCAAGCAGGCACTTAGTCCACTGAGCTATTTTGCCAGCTCCTCGTTCCTTTGTAAATAGCACAAAAAGTTTGGGAAATGTTCTTCCACTATTGGAAAAAAATTATCCAATTCAGCAAAGAAGTTGCCTGGTCACTGGCAAATTAGGAAAGTTCATCTGTCATACATTGTCCTGTTCCATGTACCTTACCTGTGAACTACAAGGGAAAACAGTCAGTGTTCCCCTGAGTAACACTGGCTGTTTAGCATTTATAAGCACACCCCAGTGCCACCCCAAGTGGGCCAGGCCAAGGGCCATTTGGGGTCAAACTCACCACCCTTTAGGAACAGCCTTCTGGAAGGTTTTTTTCCCATTCCACCAGAGGGCTAGCCATACCTAAAGTCTCAGGTATGGGAGCAAGCTACAGTTGGCCTAGACTGTGGATCTAGTAGATATCTGTCCACCTGGACATCAGCACCAAGCCTGAGCAAAAGTCAGGTTTATTGGTGGGAAAGAGTAGGGGTGGGCTCAGCAGGGAGCTGAAGTGTGTGTGTGGCTGCAGATGCCGGGGATTGAACTCAGGCCCTTGTGCTTGCCAGGGAAGTGCTTATTCCACTGAGCCATCTCCCCGGCCCCTGCAGGCATCTTAGGTAGCTAGGAAACCACCTTCCACGGGCAGGGCAGATCCTGTGGTCATGCCACTCCGGTCACTCAGCAGGAAGAGGATGGCATCCACTACATTCTCCACTTCTGTGAGGAAGGTGGTGGTCAAGGACCCAGAAGAGGCTACCCTCTCTCCTGACCCCTGGCCCCAAGCAAGCACAGTGACCACTGATGCAGTCTGGGCTCCCACCTGACTCACCAGCAAACTTGCCAAGTGGGATGCGGTCCAGTAGAACCTTGGCCTTTTGGGGGTCACTCCAGTTGGCCTTGCCCATAAGCGTCATCACCACAGTGGGATTTACTGCATTCACACGGATCTGCATAGAGATGAGCAGGGCTCAGGAAGGTGGGGAGGGTACCCTGGGCAGGTAGGCTGTGATGGGGGCACTCCAGTCATTTACCTTGTGAGGCCCAAGTTCCAGTGCCATCACCTTGGTCAGCATGTCCAGGGCACCCTTGGTGGAGCCTGCAAAGAAGGACAACATAGGGTCTCAGCTGGCTGCGGGTAGGGTGGGGTCAGAATACAGCAAGATTAACTCACAGTAAACACCGTGGTTGGCAAGTGCACGCTGGGAGGCCTGGCTGGAGACATTCACAATGGCGCCTGGCACTCCCCGGGCTATCATGCTCTTGGCCACAATCTGAAATCACAAAGGAAAATCGGCAAACAACCTTCTTCAGAGTCCAACTCACGGCCCAACAGGGCTGCTCACCTGGGACACCTGGATGACAGCCCGCAGATTTACATCAAAAGACCTGTTGTCAGATGAATAGACCCTGGTCAGGGGCAGGGAAGGAGAGGAAACAGCCCCTGCCCTCTCCCAAGGCTCTCTTGCCCCCTGCAGGCTCACATGTCATAAGCTTCCTTGGTGACCTCCAGGAAAGGCTGCAGCAGTGCTACGCCGGCATTGTTCACCAGCAGGTCCACGGGGCCCACACTGCTCAAGGCTCGCTCTGTGGCTTCCCAGTCGGCCAGGTCCACACACACAGGCTCTACCCCGGAACACTGTATGTATTGGGGTGAGGCTCCGCCGAGACCTCACACCCAAGAAAGGCCCAAGCAGACGTCTGCCATCTGAGGGGAGGGGGCTCAAACTGGAAGGAGTTCGGGCTGGGAGGGCTCAGAGCTCTAGGGGGCGCCCATGGGCAGATCCGGGGTTGCAGGACCAGCCTCCAGCAGCGCACTTTCTACCTACCCTAAGCTTTCCTCGCCCCAGGCCCGCTCAGCAACAACTTCAGCCTCCTCCCAAACCCAAGGTCGCTTAAGCTAGCAGCGCTCACGGGGAGAGACTCTGAGGGTCCCAACTATCGCAGCCCTACCTCGCTGACTAGACTGTCCAGGTCGGCCTGCGTCCGACTCACGGCCACCACGCGCACACCCGCCGCACACAGAGCCTGGACCGTGCTGCGCCCGATGCCTAGGGGAAGCTCGGCTCAGCGTGGGTGCATCCAGCCTGGCCAGGCCCTTGACCCTCACCCGCCGGCCAGCTTGGCCTGCTCGCACCCCCTAGCCCACCTTTGCCGGCGCCAGTGACCAGCGCGCGGCGGCCAGCCAACCCCAGCTCCATGGTGGTGCAACCTAGACCTAGCACACTTAGCGGGGACTTAAGAATCCGGGGACCGACTGAGGTGGAAAGATCCCAGTGCCACTTTCGAGGAGGGGGCGGGGATATTCAAATAGTGGCTCTGCTACGAGAATGATTGGCTGAAGGACAATGGGCGGGGCTTTTCAAAGAACCCAGGAATGACGACAAACGTGGGCGGGTTGATTTAGAGAACTCGGGTCAGCATTTTTTTATTTTTTTCCCCCCCTGGCAAGAGGATTATTATTAAGAATAGAAGGGGCCGGGAAGATGGCTCAGTAAAATAAGCGCTTGCCTGGCAAGCGCAAGTACCTGAGTTCTATCCCTGGTTCCACCAAAAAGAAAAAAAAAATAATAGAGGTAACCAGACACAAGCTTAAATATCTCATGGTTTCTCTTACATGAGAAACCTAGAGCCTAAAAAACAAAATAAGGAGCTGGTGAGATAGCTCAGTGGTCTAAAGCACCTACTTAGAACAAGCTAAGCCAAGCAAAGCACAGGGACCGCGGTTCAATCCCCTGGCACCACATACCAGCCAGCCCCGCCCCCTGGTGGGCTAAACTGGCCACACACGCACACAAAATAAATAAATAAATATTTTTTTACAAAAGCAAAATAAAAGATAATAGGAAACAGATCTTTTGCAAATGGGAAGGGACCAAGAGATGGAGGAAGAGGAGAAAGGAAGAGAAGGGGATGAAAACATAATTAAGATGTTATGTACATGTGCCAGTTCTCCACAATGGATGTAATCATTATGTACTACACAAAATTAAGGTCTGAAAAAAAAAAAGATGTAGTAAATGCATGAAAGGACATGCAGCTATACATGAAATGGAGACTCCAGTGTTAATTTTGACATATCTAAAAAAGCTTCTCGGGGCTGGGGAGATGGCTCAGTGGAATAAGCACTTCCCTGGCAAGTGCAAGGGCCTGAGTTCAATCCCCGGTTCCACACACACACACACACACACACACACACACACATACACACACACACACACAAATAATAAAAAAGCTTCTCATGAGCCCCTTTTCCAAGACTGGTACTGACAGCAGGTCACCAAGCTCATATGGAACGCTCAAAAAATAATAATAATTGGGACAACAGAACAAGCCTGAAGATGACTCCATTAGCAATAAAGCTATGCCTTAGCCTACAAGAGAGATGAACCTCAAGGTCAACCCCAGCCAGCCCACATATGGTCTTGGTATATAGTTTGAGCTGGCCTTGAAATTTTGGTGAACCTCTTACCTCAGTCTTCTGAGTTCTGAGATTATAGATGTGTGCCCCTAAACCCAGCTTCCACCTTTCAGAAGGGAATTGGATGGGAGAGGACAGGATCGGGGAGATAAATACATAGTGAGCATTCCTCTCTTGTTGCTAGGCCAAAATACCTGACACTGAAGATTAAGGAAGGAGAGGTTTATTTAGCTCACAATTTGTGAAGGTTTCAGTCCTTACTCAGCTGGCTTCAAGGCAGAGTGGCATTTGGCAGAGGGCAGCAGTTCATGGCCGCAGAAAACAGCAAAGAGCAAAAGGAGGGACAGGGGCAGCTGTCAGGGGGTGTAACACTCACATCCATAATCCCAGCATTCATCACGAATTAATCCCAACCTCCAGAAGTCTGCCTCAATGACTGCATGAGGCTTTGGAGAGATAACTAGACACAAACATGTGTGTGTGTGTGTGTGTGTGTGTGTGTGTGTGTGTTTTCAGACAAGTTCTTGTTATGCAGTCCAGGCTGGCCTTGAGCTCACCAGCCGAGGATGATCTTGAATTTGTAACAATCCTCCTGCCTCAGCATCCTGAGTGCTGGGCTTACAGATGTGCATCACCAGGCCCAGCTATGGTCACTTATAAATGTGACACTGGGTGTCCCCATAAAAGATATTTTGTACTGTGGGTCACTGTGGGAAAGTCTACAGGTGCCACCATTAGGACTTTCTGTGGCTACTAGTAGGACATGCATGGTGGTACGTTCTGTGGACACAGAAGAGTGGACAGGCTGGAGGCAAGGATGGCCAAGGCAGTGGGAACGTGGATCTGAGAAGTTCCTGGAGGATACCCCCAGGCCTCTGTCATCCTCACCAACTCCAGAAATGCCACCCTGGAGCCCTGTCTTCTGCTCCTAACCTTGGACTTTGCCTTCTGCCTGTCAGAGACTAAGGGAAGACAACCTCCAAGCTGACATTCCTGGAAGGCACAGCTCCTTAGATCCCTTCAGCAGCTAATCTTTGCTCCAGGAGTAGCCACAGCTCACACATTGTCCTGTAGTCCTTGGCTAGACATGCCCAAGAGGGCTGCAGCTCAGACCTTGCTCCCTGGGCCTTCTGACTTCGCAGAAGTCGCCTCAGCACCTCTCATGCCCACGCAGTGTCCTGTGTTCTCCCAGCCACTGCCTGGAAGGGCTCACCCCAGGGCCTGGCCATCTATCCCCTTGGGCAGGCCTGGATCCTCTGGCAGTCTAGCTGTTGGTTACCTCAGGCCATAGAGCCTCTCAGATGGCACCGGCAGTGTCAAACAAGCACAAGGTCAGCAGGACTTTCTGGCCAGCCCTGAGCTGTAAGAACTCTTGTACTCTGCTCGGTGCCAGAGAAGCAGAGTGGAGCAGGGGCTGAGAACACAGTGCCAGAGGAGGTGGGGCTACACTTGATCATCCCGTCCCTCTGAACGCTGGCCCTACCCAACCTGGGGTGCGCTAGTCCAGGGCCTTTGCTGGTTGGTAGACGGGTCAGAAGCGCCCAGAGGCGTGGCCTCAGCTCTGGGCTGGCCGGCTGTGGGAGCAAGCACTCCTTCGGAAGAACTGTAGCCCTTTTGTCAAGACGGCGGGGAGGCGGTGAGCGGGACCAGTCAGCACCTCTGTGGGTGCACATCCTCCATCTCTGGAGTGGTGAGCATGCCAGAGCATGACTCGGCTTTTCCCATCCCTGAACACCATTGTAACCCCTGACCTGCAGAATTCCTCAGTGGATGGCGCTCCTTCAGCTTTCAGGAGAGCCCAGGGTCAGCCGTGACTTTTTTGCCCACAACGGTCAGCATCACCGTGGGGTTCACAGAGTTCTCTTGGATCTGGGACCAGGGCCAGGGTTGTGGCTTCTGCCGGTAGATTAGCCTCCTTCCACAGCCCCTGAGCTTATTATGTTCAGCTAACCCCTGACCCTATTGCTCGGATCCTAACCTGGCCCCAAATCCCTGACCTGACCCCCGTACCTCTGCCGCTGGCCCTTAAGGCCTATTCACACTTATCTTGTGGGGCCCCAGCTCCATGGCCTTGCTTTGGTCAGCATGGTCATTGCGGACTTAGTGGAGCCTGTCGGGAAGGCAGCACAAGACCCACTCAGGATCGAGTCTTTCTCAGGAGGATGGGCCTGGGTGCTAGGTCTCCCTCGTGGGTTGGCTGTGCTCACTCAGGTGATCAGCTTGGGATAAGTTACATGGGCCACCATGCTGGAGATGTTAACAGTGGATCCTGCCCTGGGCCACTGTGGAAGCCAAGAGTTTGGGGTAACTCGCCCACACACCCTGCCCAGCCAGCTAGCACCGGGCCACACCTTCCCGCTGGCTCACCTGGGACACTTGAACCACAGAACGAAGATTCACATTGAAGGACCTGGGAGAGAGAGGGACTGTGGCCACCTATCTCCACCCACCTGCTCTCAGCAGCCCTCCCTCACCTGCCTGACTGCTGTCCCCAGCACAACTGCTGTTCCTGATTGCTGATTGTTTCCCATCTGGCCAAGGTCTCCTTGGTGATCTCCAAGAAGGGTTGCATCAAAACCAGAGCAGTAGCAGGGTGTGGTGGCACATGCCTGTCATCCCAGTACGTGGGAATTTGAGGCAGAAGGATCCTTGTGAGGCCCAGACCAGCCTGGGTCACATAGTGAGCTGAAGGCCAGCCTGAACTGCAGCATAGTGAGACCCTGTCTCAAAAAGGAAAAAAAGAAAAACAAAAACCCAGCAGGTCCACAGATCCCACCCTGCCCAGTGCTTGCTCCATAGCTTCCTTGTTTCCTAGATCCATGCACACAGGCTGTATCCCAGGACACTGGAGACATTGTGGGGTGGCCCCTGGGGTATCTGTGATGCCCACTGCTGCCTCTTTGGAGAGGCTGGCCAAGTCAGCATCAGGGTGGCTGACAGCCACTGTGTGGGCTCCTGAAGCATGCAGGGCTTTCACAGTGTCCTGGCCGATCCCTGCAAGGGGGACTTGGAGCTACATGGAGCTGGGGGCCTGTCCAGGGGAGTGGTGGGAGTGCTGGCCTAGGATAAGCCTTAAGGAATTGCTTATGGCCCTGGACCAGGTATGGCCCAGGTCAGAGGACCAGGTAACCAGGATCAGGCCAAGGGAGCCCCCACAGGCAGCTGCTTCCCTGGCCTAAGAGAGAAGGCCATAGCTGGCCCCCCTGATGCCCAGCCTGAGTTTAGGGGCTGCCTTGGAACCAAGTAGGATTTTTTGTTGGCATCTTAGTTCAGTGGGACGCTGGCCAGGTTTAGGGAGTGATAGGTTCCAGCCCAAGTACAAACTGCTAAATTATCATGTCCCTGATTCAACATGGCTGAATCTCAAAACAACACCTTATCTCTCCAGTGACCACTTCCTCCTTCCCTACCAATCCTGGATACTTCTCCTGCACACACAAGGGAGCCCCCAGTCAGCTCCTTGTGTGTCACTGAACCTGCCCCTTGGACTCCACCCCTATCAAAAGTTCATAAAATCTCAGCCATTCTGCCTCAGGTGGGGTGCTCCCATCTCCCTGCCTTGGATCCTCTCCACGACCTGCTCAATGGCAATGAAGGCCTTTTCCATCCTTTTACTTCTGTTTCTCAGTCTTGCCTCCGAAAAACCTAACAGGGAGCAGCTCTACCTGGGTGGTGCGTTTTTCGGGTGGTGGGGGCAATCTGTGACAGAGTCCCCCGGGATCTCTGTCATATCTGGGCTGGCCACCTTGCTCTCCTCAGCCTCTGGCACCTACACTTCCTGCGTGCACTCACCTTTCCCTGCCCCACTACCAGGGCCCACAGATCACTGAAAGTGAGCTGAATGGTGTTGATCCTCCACAGAAGGGTAGAACTAGTTTTTATATAGTTTGAGCTGGCAAGTTAGGAGAGGAGTGTGCCCAGAGGCAGGCAGGATTTGGAAACTATCATTATTCTCAGGGAGTGGCTCTCATACCCCGGACTCACTAGCCAGAGCTCCACACTGCAGCTTCCAAAATAAATGAATATAAGGCCTATGAGAGAATCCGGGCAGCAGCAAGGGGGGCAGGGCAAGGGAGATGTTTTGGTTTTTATTTTATTTTTTACCATAGTAGGGATCTCACCCAAGGCCTCTGGCATCCTTGGAAAATGATCTACCACTGAATCACATTCTGATCCTAGATGTCATGGTTTGGGTCTGGATGTCCCCCCAAAGCCTCAGGGGATCCTGGTAGCGGGGAGTCCTTGCAGAGGCAGCTAAATCTAGAGTTTGTGACTGGTTTGTTGTCTAGTGCCGGGACTGACAGTGTGAGTACTGCGCCCACCCTGGGGGAGGTAGACTGCATACAGTGTAAGGGAGGAAAAGAGGCTTGCCCCACCCTTTTGCCCCCTTTGGCTCTTGCTGCTTTTGCTGTCTTCTGTGATGTGCCACCCTGCCTTGGAGCTGGCTGATTACAGACTCAAGCCTCTAAATAAACCTTTCCTTCCTTAATTCTGAGTGTCAAGTATTTTGTCCCAGCAATGACAGAAAAATAACTAAGACACTAGGGAAGTAAAATCTGTGTGGCTTTTGTGGGGGAGGAGTCTCTCTTGGACATTACAGCATTTCCTTGTAACACCCTACTAGAAGAGGAAGTGGGTGCCTCCCAGACAGATGGGGGTACTGCAGCTTGGTTGAGGAGGCAGAGCAACTGTGCCAGTGGGAGCGTGGGGTAGCATTCCACATCTGTCCCCATGATGCCAACTTTTTAGTTATGCTCCAGCATCCTGGACGGGTTTTGCTGCCTTGGGGGACAGCCACTCACAGAGCAAGTGGCAGTGAAACCCTTTCTGAGGAAGCTAGAACAGATGGCCTGGACCCCAGGTGCTGGGCAAGGGCAAATGCTGCTTAAGGTGCCCCCTGGCCAACTGACCCCAACCCCACTTCAGGGATTACTGCAGGAAGCCCGTACCTGGTCCTTTTCAGGTGGCGTCTGTTAGCATGGTATTCCTCCTGGGGAGGGCCCTCCTAGGTACCCTTCTTCCCTCTGTAGTGAAACTTAAAAGAGTAAGGGGTTGTCCTGCTCCCAGCCTGATCTCTTACCAGAAACTCCCTTTCTCAGATCAGATGGCTTTAGTAAGTTTGTCAAAACAACCAGAGGACTTACTATGGCCTTCCTCTAATAGTGCTTCTGGAAATTTGCCTATTGTATGTCCTGAGTACCTCCCTGTCTGTGTGGCAGTGTTCATGGGATGAAGACCACCGTTCAGGGCTCAGGGCAGGGCAGGGCAGGGGTTGGGGACATCTGGGCCTCTCCAGGAGCTGCCTTGATCTGGTTTCCAGATTCTCAATGTTGTGGCATAATGGGTCAGACAACACCAACTAATGACAACCAGCTCAGGTCATGAGGGCCCAGTCCTAGATCTGTGACTCCTCAGAGAAGATGAAGCAGGAAATCTGGTCCTGGGCAAGGCTGCAAGCATCACTGTCAAGCTGGGCTTTCCCTCCACACTTGTCAGAAGCTTTGTTTGGAAGGGCAAGGTTGGAAGAAACTGGAGAGGGTGAGAAGCCGCAAATGAACTCTTGCACCTGTGCACCAAGTCTGCACCACTCCCTGCACAGCTGGGGCTGCGTTATGAAAACCACAGGATTCTACTTGACCGCAGATGGAGCCACTTTCCCAGGGACCCCAACAGGTGTGTGGGTGGAAGTTCCTCGAAGGAATGTCCCTACCACCTGCAGTTTTGAAGGGGAGAGGCAGGTCAGAACACCTCCCTCCCTCCGTCAGCCCGCACTTCCCAGCAGCCCCTGCCACAGTCACCATGAAGCCTTCCCAACAAGATAAATGACCACTTGCTAAATGTAATTCTGTTGCAGGTACAGCATAAAGAACTGTCCTCTCCCCAGAATCATTTGAGTGTAATTTGCCAAACTAATACCCTTGGAATCCGCCTCCAATCACTTAGTGTCTCCTCCTGGTAAGAGCCTTGCCCTGCACAACCTCAGCCCTCAGAGCCTCAAAGTTGTCAGGGGAATCCCTACCCCAAGACCCATCCACTGAGGGCCTTCATGGCCAAAATGCCAGCCCTGGCCTGTGTGCCTCTAGCTGGTCTCTAGTCCCCTTTCTCTGGAATCATCTCCATCTGTCTGTGCTTTCTGACCTCGACGCTTTCCCAGATGACAGGCTGGTCGTTGGCAGGCAGCCCCTCCACGTGGATGTCCCCAGACCTCAGCCATACGTCTTCATCAGGAATGAATCACAGAAGAAATGCTTTTTTGGAAGGCGTCCCACCCCTTGGGCACACCTCCATTTGCCCCCTGCCCGGTGCCATTACTCTGATCATTAGCTGAAAGGCAGTCTCACTGTGGTGGTAGCCCCAACCACTGGGCTCACCCACTGACTTCTGAGCAGGGGATCCGGCTGCTGCTGCCCACTGCCCATTGTGGAGCTCGTGCAGAAGGTCCCCATGACCCTCGCCCACCGGGACGCACGCAGGGGCAGGAGTTCTGCCTTGCAGGCGCAGCTGTGTATCACATCACCGACCCGGGGCCAGCCCAGTGTGGTCCCTCCCTGTCAGCTGCTCGCTTTTGCTCCTGTCGCACAGCCCATGGTCACTTCTGTGCCCACCTCTTCATACTGTTTATGCTCCCTGCCTGCCATCAAGCATGTCACTGGCCAAGGTCCAGGATGTACAGTGGCCACGCCAACACTGGGGTGTGGAGCTTCTTGTGGACTTTATTTACAGAGGGCAGGCACTGAGGGAGACACAGGGGCCCTGCAGCAGACATGATGAGCAGCAGCCTGCACATGCTAGAGCCGCCTGCTTCCTCACCATTGCGGAGAGGTCTTTTCCTCATCCTATTTTTGTGTGTAGTTCTGAATGTGTGTTATTTACTTATTTAGAGACAGTTTCTCAGTCACTAAAGTACCCAGGCTCAGTTTAAACGTGTGAGCCTCCTGCCTCAGCCTTCCAGACTACTGGGATTATAGGCCTGTCCCATCACACCTGGCTCATTCTTTGCTTATTGACTCACTTGCATGAGGAGTCCCAAGGAGCCAGGCGACAGTTTCTGCTTGTGCTTGAACAGTACTGTCGCTGAGCCCATGGTGGTGAAAGGGAAAAACTGTACCAGAAAAATGATTCTTTTTGAAATCACCTAGCTTTGTAACTGCTTCGTGGCTCTGTAATTACTTTCTTCACCCTGTAACCACGATAGTGTCACCAAACATGCGGGATGTCTGATTGTAACAAGCTCCTCGGTCTTTAACCTGGGCTTGTTTTTTTTTTTTTTTTAATTTATGTGTGTGTGCGTGCGTGTGTGCGTGTGTGTGGCCAGCTCAGCCCACCAGGGGCTGGGGCTGGCTGGCATGTGGTGCTGGGGGATTGAACCGCGGTCCCTGTGCTTTGCTAAGCTTGTTCTAAGTAGGTACTTTAGACCACTGAGCCATCTCACCAGCCCAAAAGTAATTTAAATCATTCTTTTTTTTTTTTTTTTGGCGGAACCGGGGTTTAGAACTCGGACCCTTGCGCTTGCCAGGGAAGCGCTTATTCTACTGAGCCATCTCCCCGGCCCCCTACCTGGGCTTGCTGATGATAATTAATCGAACCTTGTAATTGCCGAGCTCACCCTGCTAGCTAATCATCATGCCTGTGATCCAGCATTCTGGGAGGCTGAAACAGGAGGATCACAAGTTGGAGCCCAGCCTGGGAAACACAGTGATTTTGCAGAATCCTCCTGTCTCAAAATAAAAAAAATATGGGGAGGCTGAAAACAGGAGGATCACTATGAGTCCAAGCTGTGTAGTGAGATCCTGTACCAAATTCATAAATAAATAAATAAATAAATCAAAATAAAATCAGGGCCGGGAAGCTGGCTCAGTGGAATAAGTGCTTCCCTGGCAAGAGCAAGGGCCTGAGTTCAATTCCTAGTTTCGCCAAAAGAAAAAATAAATAAAATAAAAATTAAAAATAGAGAACCTAGGGATGTAGTTTAGTGTGAAAGCTCCTGTTTTCAATCCCCAGTACCACATACATCCCTACACTCAAAAGAAAAGGAAGAAAGAAAGAAAAAAGAAGAAAGAAAGAAAGAAAGAAAGAAAGAAAGAAAGAGAAAAAGGAAGAAAGGAAAAAATAGTCATGGACCTGTGGCGTTATCTCAGGGGCCTGCCAAGTAGCTCTAGCAGCATTCCTGTCTGCCAAGGACTTGTCACGCACCATTAAGTCTGCTGGCCATGCGCCTGGCCTTCTCTTGTTCTTGGCCTCAGAAGCCACAGCGCTGCACGGACAAACAGGCACAGGCGCAGCACTGGCTGCCCCTAAAACCCAGGCCTCTTGCAAGGTGTCCGGCCTCCTCCCACAGAGGAGGTCCTCTCAGATTATTTCCTGCTCTCTGGGACTTGTGGCCTGTCACACCACTGCCCTGGCAGCCCTGGTGTGATCTGGCTTGGTGTCTGCAGTGAGAAGGCAACAAAGCTGCTGACTTTGTGACGTGGTGCTGGAAAGTTGAAAAGGCTGGGGCTGGTGGCGCTGCTTGCGTAGGATTGTTCTCCTGAGAAACCCCAGCTTTGTGGGGCTCACTACTTGATTATTTCATGGAATTCCCTGCCTTTCCCAGGTTCCACCTACCTGTCTTCTGCACAACCAAGAAAGGGGTCGAGTGGGGATGGGGCAAGAGCCACCACCCTACTTAATTCTGTTCTGGACAGTGACATGAATCTTTGAAACCATTCTGTGGTTCTACTTTATGACTTGAGGAAGGGCCACTGTTCTAGGGTCTTCTGGGTGGTCTTTCTGGCCACTGCTGCCCTGGCTGCATGGGTTAGTGGGCCAACATGGCAATCTTTCAGTAATGCAGGTGTCTTCCCCAAGAACTGCAGGTGTCCTGCCCCTGCCTAGAACTGGGCAGGTGACCACTGAGTGCTGAAAACCCACTGCCCCAACCTCTTGGGCCCCCCTGTGACTCCGGGAAGGCACAGTCACTCTGACAGGGGAAGAAAGACTCACAAGGATCTTTGGCTTCCTTACCTCCTTTTTATCTGCCAAGTCCCTTGCTCCAAATAAAGTCCATTTTGAAGGTCCGGAGCCTATCTCATGGCTCTTGTGAGGTCCATGCTTAGGCCTTTCAGAGTGCTTCCAGTTCTCACACTGCTCTGTCCTGCACCACAGAAGGCTACCGGTCAGTTAATAGAAGTGGGCCCTGGTGAGGAGACAGGTTGGAGGTAAAGCCAGCTTCCTGTCCATGGCCACAAAGATGGTCAGCTCAGAACTGGCTTGGCCTGGCTGCCTCAGGCCACTGGACAGCAGGCAGGCACAGTGCTCTGTCCTGGGGCTTCCCGGAAAAGCATGGACTTGCACAGGCACAGGCATATGTCCCCATGCACACGCACACGTGTACACACATGTGCCCCAGCATGGTGGAGGTGGGCTGGGGTCACAGAGTGAAGGTGCAACGGGAGGACAGGGGATAGCATGAAAGAGACCCTGGGAGCCAGGGAAGCTGCAGTGTGCAAACGTGTGGGGTCCTTCCAGAGTCACGGGCTAGGGCTGGAGCTACACCTGGGCAAGATCCTTCCAGAAGCCTCTGAACTATATCTATATATATCTATATCTATTGAATTTTGTTCTAATGCCTTCCTCCTGAGCCTTCCTCAGGAGGAAAGTTTTGCTAGCATTTTTCTTTTTAAGTGAGGAGCATGACCTTGACAAGCGTACTTGAAACTGGACCTCAGGTTCAGCTAGGAGCAAAGAAACCAGGGTGGGGGCAGCGCCGGGACCAGAGCCACGTGAGCTGGGAACAAGTGGATGCTGAGGGCTGGAGGGAGCCTCAGGTACCTGGCTGCACAGCCGAGCTGCTCTTTGAGTTCAGACCCTTGGGAAGGCGGCATGGGTGCTGTGGGCACTTGTCAGGGTCAAGGCAACTGGCAGATTCCAAGAGGGCAAGGGACCGCCTGAAGTGGAGACCCTTCCACCAGGTACAAGCGGAAGAAGGCAGCCTTGTAGGCCTATTCTGCCCAGTGTGCTCTGGCCCCAGGATGTGCATAGCCCAGGGGACTCAGGGAGCAAGGCTGGCACTGAGCCTAGGCCACCACTCCCCACTGAAGGTCTGAGCCGGCAAGGTTGGGAACTGTGTGTCCTCCCCTGTCCTCTCTCTCTGGAAAGAGCTGTCTCAACTCTGCCTTCCCGCCCTCTCCTTGAGTGGATGCTATGGCCCCATCCTGTCACCCTGTCATCATGCTAGCTTCTGACCCTTCCTGTTACTCTGCTGCACTTAAAGGACACTCACTGGTTCTTCATGAAGAGCTTCTTAGCAGCTCGGTCCCTGGGGACAATCACCTGGTGACCCGAGCCTCCACCTCTCTCGCCTCCCTTAGGCTCCTGTGACTTGGCACAGCACCCCGAGCTCCCTGCCAGCCACCCAGCCTTCCAGGCCCAGGTGGAGGCTCAGCTCCTTGGAGGTCAGCTCCCTGCTGGGCTCCCACCAACCCTGCATAACCCTCCTCCTCCACCCAGATGACCAGTGTTCTAGCAGAACAGTGGTCCTGTGGTGCCCCTGTGAGGGGAGCCTGTGATCTGTCGGAGGAAGGGCAGGCCTAGGGCAGGACTCAGGTGTCCCTCTTGGTCCTGTCTTGGGCGGAGGAAAGGGCTTTGTTGCAGCTTTCATGCTATCCCCTGTCCTCCCGTTGCACCTTCACTCTGTGGCCCCAGCCCACCGCCACCCATTCTGGGGTGCGTGTGTGTGCACACGTGCGTGTGCAGGGGGGACGTGTGCCTGTGCCTGTGCAAGTCCATGCCCAGTTCTACTCCGCAAGTGTACCCTTCCCTTCCCTGAACCCCCAGGACAGAGCACTGTGCCTGCCTGCTGTCCGGTGGCCTGAGGCAGCCAAGCCAAGTCACTTCGGAGTGTTCCAGCACTGTTTTCCAGCATCTCTTTGGTATCAGCCCTGCCCCTGTGACTCCCTGAAGTTACACCCCTGGTGGGGGGATTGACAACCCTGGAGTAGAAGGAGCTGGCAACGGAGTGACTACTGGGTGAGTCGCGCACAGCCTGAGTCCCACCAGCCCAAGAGAGCCAGATTCTGTGTCCTGCTCCCTGGGGAGAACAGGCACTTGGCAACTCTTGGTTCACTGTCACTGAGGATTGAACCGAGGGCCCTCACATTGAGCTTCCTCCAGCCCTTACGTATTCATTATTTGAGACATGTTTTCACTAATTTGCCCAGGCTGGGCTCAAACTTGGATTTTCCTGCTTCAGCCTGCCAGAGTGCAGGAGTTCTTGGCATGAACCACTCCTGGCTTGTCAACAGATCTAAGGGGAGAGTGATTTTCAGGCAAGATCTCAGCAGCCTTGGAGAATGAACTGGCCCGGCCAAGGCCTGTTGAATCCCCAAATGGGCAACGGAGAGTAGATGCTTGTGTGACGAACTTTGAATAGGACTGAAATGCAGTCACAGTGAGACATTCTGTGTGCTACTACCAGGGCAGCACTGTCGGGCCCCGGTTTGGTTAATGGAAAGTCAGGTGGTTGTTTGCCTTGAAAAGGACTGGACTAGGAGAGGGGCGGGGTGCCCAACACCCGCTGCTCTCCAGCTCCTCCACATCAGAGCGGTCTTCACTGCGGTTGCTGTGCCCAGGGTCCTTCTCTACTCCTGGAAGCCCACAGCCCACATGTAGGGAGCGGCCAAAGCCTGCCTGAGAACAGGGAGAGCTGGAGGTGAGCCACTTATAGAAGCTGTTCCAGCTGGCCAATAAGTTGCTAGAGAGGTGGAAATTGTCATCCTCCCTAGGGTATAAATACATGCTCTACAGGCCTTGGCTAGTTCCTTCCCCCCTAGCTGGAGAGGGGGCGCCACCTGACCTCAACTTTCTGTCTTTTATTTCTCTATCCTGCCACTGTCCCGCCCCTATGCCCCTGGGAACTTTGAGAGTTTTTTGGGACTCAGTTTCTGGCAGGCAGTGGCTGGCAAAGAGAGAAAGAGAACTCCAAGGAACCTGGCAGGAGGAAACAACTGTTCAGGCCACCCTGGCCCTTAGTTGTGTGTGCGTGGGCCCACACCAGGCATCTATGTACCTGTGCACACACACAGGCATGGATATTTAGCCCAGGTCTTGTGATGGACACCTGGGTGGTCCTGCCAGCTCTCTTTATAGTCCTGTGTGGCCTGGTTCCTATCAGGCCACTGTGCCCAGAGCTGATGCCTGGGTGGGCCCTCGCAGGTCTGGTCTTGCCTTCTGAACCTCTATGGTTCCTTCCAGGAGGGGATCTGGGGCTCAGGCTGCACTAGGATCCCAGGGAGGGGGTGAGCGTAGGGGGTGTCAGGGGCTCCGGGCTGTGCCCAGCACTGGCTGAGACCCTGTCCTTTCTCAGGGTGTCTCACTCCTGCCTGCATCTTGTAGCTGTGGAAAGCCCTCCTGGTGGCACCCTGCACCCCAGGCAGAGCTGCTCACAGCAAGACTCCAGTACCCAAGTGGGGTCCCACCTTCTGGCACTCCCAGGTTCCAGGAAATTCACTGGCAAGGGAAGACCTGTTGCCCCTCCCCCTTCTTATATAATGGAATTATGACACAACTTTTGGGGTGTGGACTTTTTGAAGGAGGGCCCCAGCTGGCTATGTCCCAAAAGATTAAAGTGGTTCAGGGGAAGGTAAGCACTCAAGTAGATGCGCTCTGAATTCTCCCAGGGCAAGGTGCTGGGAGGGGGCTGTGGTGTTTGTCTGAGGGTAAGAAGATACTCTGGGAAAAGCTGCCTAGCCTCTGGCTAGATTAGCAGAGCCCAGGGAAGAAGGGCTAGGCACAGGTGCTGGAAACTGCCCTGCTGGTCACCCCACTCCCCCAGTGGGCCTTGGCTGGAGGCTGCAGATCCTGCAATGGGAGGGGGCAGCCATGCATGGTGGCACACCCCTGTGATCCCATCACTCAGGAGGCTGAGGCAGGAGGCTTGCTGCAAGGTCTAGACCAGCCTGGACTGCACAGTGAGTTCAAGGCCCGTGTGCACTACAAAGTGAGACCCTGTCTCAAAAACCAAAAATAAACAACAAGTAGGGAGAGGGTCTCCCCTGCAGGCTTCTGCGGGCTGCTCCCCACCCTCTCTGCTCAGCCCACCCCCAGGGCCAGTCCTTCCCTGTGAGTCCTGAGAAGTCTAGCAGCACCCGCCCAGGAGCGAGCTCAGCCCAGACCCATCTGGGTCCTGCAGCTGGCGCCTCCTTGGAGGCCGGCTCCGGAGGAACTGTGCTGCTTGGCCTCAGGACAAGCAGAGCGTGGCACAGCTGAGGGGTGTCCCAGCATCCACTGCATCAACTGACCCATGTGCATGTGCCGCGTGTCGCAGTAACCTTGTCACTTATACCTGGACTCCCTCTGACTGTGAACTACCAGAGCTCAACAGATATCCCCCGTGCCTGTCCTAGGACACAGACACGAGGAGATGCCTTCTCTCTCTTAGACACACGCTCATTTTCCATTTCTACTACTTCCTTCAGAAAGAATTTGTAGTTTTCAGTGTTGAAGTCTTTCATCTGCTTAATTCAATTTACTGTTTAATCTTTTATTCGTTTGTTCTTTTTTTTTTGGCAGAACTGGGGATTGAACTCAGGCCCTTGTGCTTGCCAGGGAAGCGCTTATTCTACTGAGCCATCTCCCTGGCCCCTAATCTTTTATTCTTTTAGGTACTAAATAGAGCTGTTGTCTGGAATTTAAGAGTTGTTTATTATTGTTGTATAAATTCAACACTTTTTTTCATGTGTTGATCTTCTATTTTACAACTTTGCTGAATTCTTTTATTAGCCTCAGCAATTATTTTGTGAATGATTTAGGGTTTTCTATATGTGATTTTGAGCTTCACTTTTCTCTTTTGGATATTCCCCCTTTTTTCTGGTCCCAAGGCCTCATGGGTGTATAGTGTCACTTTATACTGAGCCCAAGCCCCAGCCCTTTTTTGTTTTGTTTCATTTTTGTTGAGATAAGGTCTCACTAAGGTGCCCAGGCTGGCTGCTAACTTAGGATCCTCCTGCCTCTGGTTGCCAAGAGGCTGAGCCTATAGGTGTGCCACTTGGGTCATTTTGGCTTTTTTTTGTTTTTTCTTTTAATTTTGATTTTTCTTTTTTTTTTTTGCTATAGTTGGGATTAAATTTAGGTGTGCTCTACCACAGTACCACTGAACTACATCCCTAATCCTCTGTATGTTTAATTTTGAGACATCCTTTTTCTGAATTGCTCAGGCAGGTCTCGAACTTGCAATCCTCTGGCCTCAGGTTCCCTCTGTACTAGCATAACAGGAGTGCAGCACCATGGCTTACTTCCAGAAATTTTTTATTACAGTAGAATTATACTTAAAATGCAATTTTTCATCTTAGCCATTTTCCATCTGCAGTTCAGCTGAATTAAGCACATCAACCATGGCAACCATCACTGCCCTCACCTGCAGAGCTCCCAGCACCTTGCAAACCCGAAGCCCCAGCCCTATTCCTAGGCACTCTCGCTCCCTTCTAGAGCCCTGGCCCCCCATCCCACTTTCAGTCTATGGGGCTGTGCCGTTCCAGGGATCTCAGATAAGGGAGGGGTGTGTGTGTGGGGGATGCTGGGGATTGAACCCAGGGCCTTGTGCATGCAAGGAGAGCGCTGTACCACTGAGCCATTTGTTAGCATTTCTTCTTGGTCACCATGGTGTTCTCAAGATGCAATACATGTCAGAAGTTCCTTTCTTTCTTTTCATGTTTGTTTGTTTGTTTAGATAGGGCTTTGTGTGTTTTCCAGGCTGGTCTCCAAGTCCTGGGCTCAGGGACCCTCAGCCTCCTGGGTGGCAGTGACCACAGGTGCCCTCACTGTCATTTTTTTTTTTCTTTTTGATATAGGGTCTCCATGTTCAGTTCCGACTGGAGCTCATTGTGTAGCCCAGAGTGGCTTCAAACTCACAATGATCCTTCTGCCTCAGGCTTCCTAGTGCTGGGATGACAGGTGTGTGCCACCATGTCTGGTCTCAGGGCCACTTCTGACCCAGCAGGCTTCTCTTTTCAGTTTCCTGAGTTTCTCATTCATTCTTCCCCACTATTTTCTCTGGCAGCATGTGAGGCTTTACATTCTCCACAACAGTGTAAAGTTTCCAGCCTCTCCACACCCAGCATTTTCCTTTGCTACTTGTCACCCTGAGAGCCTGTAGTGGTGTCTCACTGTGCGGGGATGCATTTCCTTAATGGCCAGCCACACCGAGCAGCTTTCCCCAAGCTGGCTGCCCACTTGTCTATCTGCCTGGAGAAGCATGTGCAGCACCAATAAGGGCCAAGGCTCTGCTGCTACGAGGACTGTGTGCGGGAAGATTGTGCTTCCTTGTCCTAGTGAAGTCACCAGAATCGGTGGCGAGCACAGTGTAAGTGTGGGTGGCGCTGGGCTATCCGTGCCTCCAGGCCTGTTGCTGCCACTGTTTCGGTGACTGTGGTTTCACACTGAGCCTCCAGGTCAGGCTGTGTGATTCCTTCTCTACTGCTGTGTCCAGTCTCTTTTTTGGAACAGGGCCTGCCTATGCCTTCCAGGCTGGCCTTAAACTTAGCATGTAGCCCAGGCTGGCTTCAAACTCTCAGGGATTCCTCTGCCTCCCGTAGTCTGGGATTACAGCATGTGCCATTGTGCTTAGCTCCTGTGCCTTTTAATATCTCTGCCTTTAACAGTGCCACATAAATTTAGATTCACTGACCCATTTTTTCATAATGTATCTGTCTGACCTGGGTCCAGGGCTCAGGCTGGCCTCAGAAAGTGAGTTAGGGGGCTGGGGAAGTAGCTCCGCGGGCTGAGCTCCTGCCTGGCGAGCTCAAGGAACCAGGTTTGATCCCTGATACTCCGTGCTGTGCTGCCCCTGGGGCCCTAGGAGGCTGAGACAGGAGCGTCACTATGAGCCTGAGCACTGTAGTGAGACCCTGAACCAAATAAATTAAAAACAAGATTTTTTAAAAGTGAGTTAGTAGCCTGGGGAGATGGCTCAGCAGACTAAGCCCTTGCCTGGCAAGTGCAAGCGTCTGAGTTCAATCCCCAGGTTCCGCAAAAAAAAAAAAAAGTAAGGTAGTAAGTGTCATCTTTTTGAGTTGGTATATCATTGTCAATCATGCCTTGAATTTTGATAGAATTCATCAGTAAAATCATCTGATCTTGGAGATTTCTCTACCTTTTTTTCTTTCTGTTTTTTTTTTTTTTTTTTGTAATTTCATGTATTTGATACAGGGTCTCACTATGCAGCTCAGATATAGTGATCATTGTGTTTTCAGCCTCCGCAGCGCTGGCATTACAGGTATGTGCCACCACGCCCTGACTCGTTCGCTGGCTCAGTGCTTCCCGAGGGCCAGGCTGGCGTGGCATGTGGGACTGGGGAGTCAAACCCCTCGTCCCTGTGCGTGCCAAAGCAGGCACTTAGTCCACTGAGCTATCTCTCTAGCCCCATCTTTTAAATGTTGAAGCAGGGCCTTGCCATATTGTCCAGGCTTGTTTGAATTTTTGATCTTCCTATCTCAGCCTCCCAATAGCTTGGCTTGTAGGTATGTGCCACTGTGCCTAAGAGACTTCTGGCGGAAATATTTTTGTTAATATATTCATTAGTGAGGGCTAAGGATGTAGTTCAGCGGCAGATTTGCTTAGTGATGTAGGTCCTTAGTTCGATCCTATCAAGATACAAAAATCAAATTAACAAATAAAGGGCTATTCTAATGTTATATTTCATCTGGACTCTTTTTTTTTTTTTTTTGGCGGTCCTGGGGATTGAACTCCGGACCTTGTGCTTGCTAGGCAGGTGCTTAAGCTGCTGAGCTATATCCCCAGCCTGGATGCACTCTTTAAGTGACATTATAGGTCCCCCTCCATTTCTTTAGTTTTTATTTATTTGATACAGGGTCTCACTATGCAGCCCAGATTCATAGTGATCCTCCTGTCTCAGCCTCCCCAGAGCTGGGATTACGGATCTGCGTCACCACGCCCAGTTTCAGGGGCGGCATGGCATGCAGTACCCAGGATGGAACTCTGCGGGTGCTTAGTCCCCAGAGCTGTCTCTCCAAGCCCCTTCCCTCTCCTTTCTGTGTCCTTACAGAAAAAGGTTGCCTTGCCCTTGAATGTTCCCAGGCACTAAGTTGGTGAGGTACTTTTTGGTATCGGGACTCAAACTCAGGATCTTGCCCTTGCCAGGCAGGAGCTCTGCCACTGAGGTATTTCCCCAGCTGAAGCAGGTATTTATTTAATTTGCTGCCCCTCAAACCTTGAAAAAACCTGGGATGTTCCTAAGCCACAAAGCCTTAAGTCTTTATGTACCCCATCCCTGACCCCTCACTGGAGCCAAGCCAACCCTTGTCTCTTGGGGTCCATTGTGAGGTTGAGCTCAGCATCCCAAGAGCCCCTTAAATGGGCTCTGGATAGAGCGCTTAGTGAGCTGGGTCGCTGCCTTTGGAGTCTCAGTGTACCTATCTCAGAGAGCCTGGGCCCCCCCTTTTGTACCATTCGATGATTTTCATAATTTCACAGTTGCACAACCATCGGATACTGAATTAACACTCAATCACTGCTGCTAGGAAACACAAACATCTTGGGAAGACTTTAGTCAGCTTACTCTGTAGGTTCTGCTCTCTCCACACCACCACAGAGAAAACAGCCCTGGAGTGCCTGCCTGAGCACACCAGGCGCAGACTTGGCCTGCAGCGCCCCCTGCTGTCTCCAGCCTGAACTTCCGGAGCAGAAAATACTCTGAAGGGGAATCCTGGCTCTTAGACTTTTTTTCCCAAAGCTTGACTGTAAATGATGGGGACAGAGAACGCTGGTTCAAATTACACAGACATCTAGGGGAGGAGGTGAACTGTAGTGATCTGCAGGTGCTGGAAACTGCCTATTTTCACTACCCACCCACCCAGCTGTTCCTGCAGTTCAGCCCCAGCTGGAGGCGCTGTCCTGCTCAGTGCCTAGAACAGAACAGCAGTTTGCCGACACAGTAAACGCGGTCTAGAGGAACAACGAAAGTTGGGGGGACATAATTTTTGTCTTTTGCGCTCCTAGGGATGGAACTCAGGGCCTTACAGACACCAGGCAAGTGCTCCACCCCATCCCAACATGATTAAGCTTTTGATTTGCTTGATACAATCTCGGGGGGCGGGGGTTGTTTTGTTTTTTCTGTGTACACATCTACTGGGTATCCATTATACGTAATTTGTAAAATTCAAGTTAATTCCAGCACCTGAGGGGGTTGAAGCTGGAAGATCAACTCGAATTTGAGGCCAGCCTGAACTGTGTGGGACCATGATTCAAAAAAAAAGTTTAAAAAAAAATGTTTTGGGGGGCTGGGAGATAGCTCAGTAGTATAAATGCTTGCCTGGCAAGTGCAGGGTCCTGAGTTCAATCCCCCGTACTGAAAAAAAAAAAAAAATGTTTTTGTTTTTTACTTCACTTGGTTTTCTTTTAGAGACAAGGCTCACTATGCTGTTCAGCCTGGCCTTGAACTCATTTTGTAGTCGAAGCTGGCCTCAAACTCAGTGATCCATCCACCTTAGCCTCCCCAGAGCTGGGACTGCAAGCCTGCCCCACCACACCCAGCACCAATTTTCTCATTTTCTTTTTCTTTGTATTTTAGGGAAGGGTCTATAGGGTGTTCAGGGTATCGCTACTAGTGGACTCTGCCTGTTTACAGCCTCCCAAGAGCTGGGATTAGGATTATAGGCGCATGCCACCATGCTCAGTCTCAATTGCTGTCTCAGGGTGCCCTGGAGGTTGGGCAGGCATGGCAGGCCCGGGGATCAAACCCACAGCCCATGTGCCTGCTTGCAGATGCTTTAATCCATTGAGCTATTTGGCCAGCCCTCAATTTTCTCATTTTCAGAGGCAACTGCAGATGATCATTTTGGTACTGTTCTTTCCAGACCTTTGGCTTTCTGCAAAACAAATGGACCAGCTGTGGTATGACTGTCCTAACTGGGCCACTGTGAGAGGAAGCTGGGCCCAAGCTGGTCCTGGTGGCACTCTGGACAGTGGAGAAATCTAGCAGGCAGGGAGTAAGCCAGCCTGATCCTCTCGTGGGCCAGTGTTCTGGACCCAGGGTTTGGAAGAAGGCAGAATGTCAAAGTGTGGCACCTGGGGGCTGCTGGGCACTCCAGTTTGGCCACCAAGCATGGACATCTCTTTGTTACCTGTTTAGACACCCACCTTGCTGCCTCACACCACCTTCCTAGAGGATCTAGCTGGTTTCTCCCTATTGAGCTGATTCCAGGGGGCCCTGATGCCTGTCTCTGGGCCCCATTCCTGCCCTTAGGGTGCAGATGTCCCTCCTTGCTGTCCTTGATTCTCCATGGCCCGCACTAGAAGGGGATGGCCGTTCTGTCTTGAGTAAAAGCTGTAGGCTGTCTCCACATAGGAAGATCTGTTTGGATCTGAGCAGAAAATTACTGGTTCAGAAAATTTGTAATCGTTAACAACCAGGAACTGCATGGAGCCACCCCTTGGGAGAAATGCCACGTGGCCTAAGTGATCCTGAACGTGGATCAAAAGGAGAAACACCAGGATCAGCTCACACATGCACCACCACCAGCCTTACAGCACAGGCCCCATGTGGCTTCCTACTATCAGTGAGCCATATGATGGCTCAGGCCATAGGATGTCTCCACAGGCTGAGGTGACACAGACACAACCTGATGCTCTTAGTAGTATCATAGGCCACTTGACAGCTTTACAGGATGGCCTACACAAACTGTCCGCAGATGACCTCTCACTGATGTGAACTTGCTCTTGCCCAACAGGCTGGGGAAGGAGAAAAATTTACAGAAAAATGAGGCCATGAATTCTGTTATCAGTTCAGACATGACCTGAGCAGGGCCTCGTGCATGTGCAGGGCTGGAGGCCAGGGGGTGAGGCGCACAGCAGTTGGCCAGGCTTTGGAATAATCCTCCCACAGTTCTCAAGTCTCTGGTGTCCTGGCGAAGCTCATCACCTGCCCCCCAAATGTGGGCCTGGGCCTGACACTCTCAGCCAGGGCAGCTCCCTGGGTACTGTAATGCATGGTCCATGTTTGTGGGGTGCAACATGGTGCTGGCCCACAGAAATCACCCCCACTGACTGCTCTGGGACTGCTTCCTGGTCCTCACCCACAATGCTCTCCTCACTCCCAACAGAACATGAGAAGCCCCTTCAGGATGCAAATACCCCAGGTAGGAAACACCTTCGGTGGTCCTGCCCACTCACATCTGCTTAGCAGCATTAGATCCTGGGAGAAGGCAGATGCTGTCCCCACTGGCCACCTAGCTGACCAGCAGCTGTGGTTCATGGTTACTGCCTGGCCTAGGATGGTGAACCTTGAATCACGGCTGGGGCACAGGTCAATGTCCTAAATGTGAAGGAGGCCTACGGAGCAGTAAGGAGGGCGTCTAGGTCACACAAGGTTCAGCTACTCTTAAGTCAGCACACACCGTACACACCTTGTTGCTCACAGCACCACAGATACACAGGCCCGAACCCCTACATGTATGGCAGCCGTGCCATGTAATACACTCCTTATTCCACATGCCAGGAATGAGCATGACACTCAGGACCATGATTGACAAGTTGCTGTAACCCCTGCACAGTTCCCTGTGGCCACCCCTGCCTACTACGCCTCTCAGTCTGGAGGCCTCAGGCTATGTGACCCAGACCTGCCTGGATGGAGACTGTCACAGTTTCCTGCCTCACTGCCACCTATAAAGCTGTGTGACCAGCAGTCCCTGCGGACAACTAAGACAGGAGCCACAGTAAGAATGACAAGGAAGCTTTTACTCACATTCCATAATATTGGGAGAAGGACAGAGGGAAGAGGCTGTGCCCTGCACAATACCCAGAGAAGGAAGGCAGCTGTCTGGGTCCCTTTCCCCAGGGCCACGCTGTGGACCCATGAGGGGGAAGCGGGGACAGGGAGGAGAAAGTCCTCAATGTGAGTCAGTGTGGGGAAAAGTGGCCTGGAGGCCCCCAGGAAGGCCAGCTCTGCCTGAGGACACACTATAGGGCCAGTCCCAAAGCTGTGCCCTGAGGGTGGGACATGAGACCACCAGGAAGTCCTCTCTCTCACTATGGTTAGGGCCAGAGCCCACTCCCCTGCTCCCAGCCCACAGGTACTGCCTCTGCAGGTAAGGAGGGCAGGACGCAGAACTATGAGGCTGGTTTTGGTCTCGTAAGGATACCTGTCCTGTTGGGTGCTTTGGTGGAGACAGCTGAGTGATACCCATGGCAACAGCAGCACTGCCCTCCAGGCTTCCCGGGGGCTGCCACCCCCAGAGACTGACTGAAAGCCCTAGCTCCCGTGGGGCCGTAAGTGTGGCCTGCTGGTCAGCCAGATCATCTGCATGGTGCCTGCAGTGGCAGCCTAAGGAAGCTAGCCGAGCCAAGTCACAGTAGCCAGATGGTGTAGATCACCGTGAGGGGAAGTCGCCCTTGTTCTTCATGGGACACCAGTCTGTGTCTGGGTAGTGAAGGCAGTGGACAGACTTAAACCTGGGACAGAGGGAGAAAATGGGATCAGGGATGTTCAGGTAGGGCTGACCTCAGAGGCACTGGCCCAGCAGCCCGTCACTACTTACCGTGTGGGGTCCTGTTGCAGGCTGAAGCCCACCACATTTACCACATTATGTGGGTTCTCTGGACCTCCATAGCTTAGGGTGACCTGCAAAAAGAAGGGACTAGAGGGTGAGGACCATAGCTTTCCTCGAGAGCCTTTTCCTGGAGGGGACATTACTCACCTCTTTACCCTGGGGATCAGGAGAGCCTCTCTTTACAAAAAAGCCTCCATGAGATCCATGGGCATCTGCTCCGGTGGACACTAGGCTCAGCAGGCAGAGATCTGCCCAAGGCCCACATGAAAACCCCAAGGCTGAGACTACCCTGCCCCTGCACCCACCCGCTAAGCCCACCAGGGAGCCCTACCCCTGGTGCAGCAGGGGCGCAAGGGTCCTGGCAGGGAGCCAAGCCTACCTGCTGGAGCACAGCATCTGTTGGGAGCCTCTGCAGGTTCTCCAGGTGGGAGTGGAAGAGGGGGCTGGGCAGTAAGTGGGCCCCCAGCAGCCCTTCCACAATGTAGCCCACGGTGCAATCATCTGGCAGGCGCACCCTCTCAGCTGTGCTCATGAAGCTACCTAGGCTGAGGGAGAGGCTGGTCAGTGACTCCGCAGCCCTCGGCTCCTAGCTGGGCAGCAAGGCGCCCACTCACCTGGCCCAAGGGCTCATCTTGAGGGCAAGGCCCCTGCTCAGGCAGAAGCCGGCCCCACCGGTAGCAAACCAGAACTTGACTGTGGTGGCCTGGAAATGGGGGAGTTCCTGTCATGGTAGCCCATGCCTGGGCTCCTCTTCCCCTACCCTTCACTGGACCCAAGGGTCATCTGCAGGCAATCCCCACGGAAAACCTGCCAGGGAGACCACCAGCCTGGCACTCACGGTCCCACCTCCCTGGACCCTCTCGGTGGCCTCAATGGGGTGGTCCAGGCTGGGCCGCCCCAGGTAGACATCCTGGTTGGGAGAGAACGTGGACAGCAGCTGCAGCAGGCCAGGGGGGTTCACATAGTTGTCGTCATCCACGTGGCAGAACCACCTGGGGGCGGGAACAGCCCTGTGCAAGGAGCCTCCAAGGTGGCTAGAGACCCCCATCCTAGCCCAGACCTCCTCCTCCCCACAGATGCAGCCAGCCTACTTGCGCCCAGACTCGATGAACTTGTCATACTCCACGGACATCTTACAGCAGAGTGCCTGGCGGGTGCGCACCGCAGAGCAATTGGTGTTGATGACACGGCTGCCTGGCCAGGTGGAGATGGGAAAGTGAGGGTGCACACCCAGCCTGTCCCTGAGGTGGAGGCCAGCCCAGGTTCCCCTGCAGCTCTGGCTCAGCTGTCCCTTAGCCGACTGTCAGTGACTGAATAGGATGACACTTCCTTGGGATGAGAGCAGAGACAGGACCAAGGCACAATGGCCCCAGCAGGCCTGCACAGAATTCCCTGCTAGGGCTTCCTGGGGACAGTGACCAGAGGCCCTAGGAAGCCTGCAGGTGGCCAGGTACTCCTGGGTTGACTGCTGGGATGGAGTCCTAGCAGGGGTGACCAAGCTCTGTCCTGCACTGGCTATGTGTCCCTAGGCCAGCGCCTCCCCCTCCCGGGCCCAGTTAACAGTTCCGTGGTGGCCCCTTTGCAATGGGCACGACACCGGACCCACCGGGCCTGGGCCTCACCTGCCTGCCGCTGGAGCTCAGGGTCGTCGCCGTCGGTGAAAATAAAAGTCTGGGGGAGAAACGATCGTGAGGCATATTGGGGCGGCGAGCCTAGAGAAAGAGGGGACCCGCGGGCGCGAGGGCGGGCGGGCGGGCGGGGGCACCTGCGGGCGGGCACGCGAGATCCAGGTGAGCAGCAGCAGCCCCAGGCGCGGCCCGTGGTTCTTGCGGGTGGTCTTGACCGCGATGAAGACGTCGTCAGGCCGCAGACTAGGAACAGCGACGGCGGCGGGCGCAGGGGCAGGAGCGGGAGCGCGAGGCAGAGGTAGAGGCAGCGGCAGTAGGAGGAGCGCAGCGAGGGCCGCGGCCAGCGCGAGGCAGGCCCGGCACAGCGCCCCCCGCGCGCGGCTCATGCGGCCGCCGCGACCCCCAGTGACGGGAGAGGGCCGGGGCCGGAGGCGGCCCCTTTAAGTGAGGCGCGCGCCCCGCCCCGCGCCGCGCCCCGGAAGCGGCTGCTGTGCTGCCCCGGAAGTAGACTGTGCGCTGCGGCGGGGTGGGTGCAAGATGCCGCTGCCGGTTCAGGTGTTTAACCTGCAGGTAACGAACCGAGGTCGTGCCCGCGCCCGCGCTCCCGCCGCGGGGTGGGGACGGTGGGGAGAAAGGGCGGTGCGGGGTTCCGCGCGCAGAGTTCCCGGGCAGCTCTCGCCCCCGCCCCCTCCGCCTGGCGCCAACGCTCACCGACTCGGCAGGCTGCAGTCGGGTCGCGATGCGAGGCAGTCCAGCATCTAGCTCGGCCTCTTCGTCGGCCTCGGACCTGGGCATCAGGTCAGACCTAAGGCCTGGCACGGCCGGGGACTGCGGCCTGAGCGCCAGCCTGTCGGCCTGCACGCTGTTTTCCGAGGTATCGCGGCGGCAACCCGGCCCTCAGCCGAAGCCCCGGGCGACCCGAGATGAGCTCCTCCCTTTTCTCCCTGCAGTGGTGTTACTCTCCCCTCAGAGTGGCTACCCGGGGGCATGGTGGCACCCGTCCCTGCTCCGACCTGGAGGAAACTGCATCTGAACCGGGCTTGGGAATGCGTAGGAACCTTCCCGGTTTGCTTTCTTGCTTCAAAGTTAGGCATTTAGAGGCTGTCAAGGAGCATCTGCTCATAGGGGCAGGATAACTAGTGGGAGTGGGAAAGGGTCGGAAGAGTACATGGGTGACAGCTGTGGTGGTAGAGTGGTACCATCTTGCATTGAAAGGCCTTGGGCAGAACTGACCACAGGGCACGTGAGGGTGCCTGAGGTGCCAAGGTGACCACTTTTGTTTCAGGGGGCTGTGGAGCCCATGCAGATTGATGTAGACCCACAGGAGGATTCCCAGAATGCACCTGATGTCAACTATGTGGTGGAGAACCCCACTCTGGTATGGAACCCAATAGGGAGGGTCTGTGGTTGTTTTGGTCTTGTTGGGTGGGAGTCCAGGCTAGAGTCCAAACTGTAGCCTACAACCTAGTGGACTGATGCCTCTCAGGTCATGTCTCTTTCTGAGCCAGAAACCTTTGAGGTTTCCTTCATTGGTGCTGGTTGGGTTCTTGGCTCAGCCCGAGACCCTCACTCATTCACGTGGGGAGCCCCGCTGGTTGAATGCCACCTGAGGACAGGTCTTGTGGGGACCAGCCTATTCAGTGCTATTTCCTTCCTGCTCTGCAACACATCTGGCACTTACAAGTACCTGTCCCGGGGCCGGGGAAATGGCTCAGTAGAATAAGTGCTTGCCTGGCAAGCACAAGGGCCGGAGTTCAATCCCTGGTTCCGCAAAAAAAAAAAAAAAAAAAAAAAAGTACCTGTCCCCTTTCAGAGTTCTATTCTGGAGAATCCCAGCCCAAGTGTCCCTGTGTTCTCATCTCCCAAGCACTGATAAGGACCTAGCATCCTTATCAAAATACCCAGGCTGTAGGCTTTGGGTGTGGGGGGTCTTGCCTTGCACACCCTGGTTGACTGTCTTTGCTTACGTTGTGCTCGCCCCCTCACCAGGATCTAGAGCAGTATGCAGCCAGCTACAGTGGTCTGATGCGCATTGAGCGGCTACAGTTCATTGCTGACCACTGCCCACCACTGCGGGTGGAGGCCCTGAAGATGGCTCTCTCCTTCGTGCAGAGGACCTTCAATGTGGATATGTACGAGGAGATCCACCGCAAGCTCTCAGAGGCCACCCGGTAAGGCCAGGACTTTGGTGAAAAGTAGAAGCTATGATAGGGGCATGTGTCCAGGACTGGGTGTGGCGTGTGCCCCTTGGAGCCAGCCTAGGAGGGGCCAGTTCTGTGCAGCATCTAGCAGCACTTTAGCATGTGTGGCAGATGGTAACAGATCCTGCTTACTCCCGAGTTGCCCATATCCTGGCTTCCTGCTGCTGTGTATGTGTTCAGTTACTCTGGGAGGAGCTGGAGGAGCTGTCCTACCCTCCTGGAATTCTGGCTTCACTGGGCTGCTGCTCCCCAGGTCCCCCATGTGGCTGTGGGCTCCTGGGTCAGTGATTATCTCTGTTCCTTGATCAGACTAGCTTCCTGGGGTGGGGGATGGGGACAGGCAAGGGCCCATCCGCGTACCTCCCTGGCCCTGATGACTATCGCCATCCTGATAGCCAGTCTTCCCTCAGGGAGCTGCAAAGCGCACCAGATGCCATCCCTGAGAGTGGTATAGAGCCCCCACCCCTGGACACGGCCTGGGTTGAGGCCACTCGGAAGAAGGCCCTGCTGAAGCTGGAGAAGCTGGACACAGATCTAAAAAACTATAAGGGCAATTCCATCAAGGAGAGCATCCGGTGCTGGCCTGCCCAGGGCAAGGGAGGTGGGTGGCTGGACCCAGCTGGCCCCGATCAGTGACCACTCATGGTCATGCCTATAGGCGCGGCCATGATGACCTGGGTGACCACTACCTAGACTGTGGGGACCTCAGCAATGCCCTCAAGTGTTACTCTCGGGCCCGAGACTATTGCACTAGCGCCAAACATGTCATCAACATGTGCCTCAATGTCATCAAGGTAGCAGGCAGGTGGGTAGGTGGAGGGGCACGTGCTGAGGAGGGGGAACCCAGGCTGTCTCATCCTACTCACTTGGCCACCAGGTCAGTGTCTACTTGCAAAATTGGTCTCATGTGCTGAGCTATGTCAGTAAGGCTGAGTCAACCCCAGAGATTGCTGAGGTATGTACAGCCCACCTTCTCCACATCTCCCCTTGTCACCTCAGGCTGGGGCTGGGCACTGTGTTTGTTATGCTGATGGTATGACTCTCATGTATGTGGCCTTTCCCTGCAGCAGCGCGGAGAACGGGACAGCCAGACCCAAGCTATCCTCACCAAACTGAAGTGTGCTGCAGGTAAGGCATTCTACCGTGCCATATATTGTCCTCTAAGTGCTTACAGCCCTAGAACAAAACTTGGCCCTACATAACAGTGAGAACAGTACCTGGCAGGCTGCCCAACCTCCACAAGTATAAGTGACTGCTATGTTCACCCAGGGAGGGAAACTAGCATGTGACTGGCAAGTCCTCTAGCTTCTCTGAGCAGTGATGTCCCTCATGGGCATTGCAGCTGCAGTTTTAGGTTCCCTTAGAAATCTGACTTCAGAGTATGTTTGACATTCCATGAATGTGTTCCTATGAAACACATACTTGTATTTCATAGCTAGAATTTCTGTCCCAGAGAAGCATCCTGGGGGCAGGAGAGGCAAAGGGATCACCTGCCACTTGTCATCCCTATCCTGGCCCCAAGGCCAGGGTACCTTCCTCTAGGGGTCTCAACCTTCTCTTTTGGATCCTTTTTAGGCTTGGCTGAGCTGGCTGCACGCAAGTATAAACAGGCTGCCAAGTGCTTCCTGCTGGCCTCATTTGATCACTGCGATTTCCCTGAGGTGAGGGGAACTGGGTCTTGGGAGAGCCTCCACAGGGCCTTGGGAGGCAGCCAGAGCTCCTGAGCTGGGCTCTTTTTTGGTCTCCACTGAAGGGTCCGTTGCATTTTCTGAGTGTGGGCAGGGGTGGCTGGCTCTGGGCTTCCCTGCCCATCCCAGTGAAGTACTGTGGTCCCACAGTTTTGAAGTCATCTCCCTTTTTGTCCCTCAGCTGCTTTCCCCCAGTAATGTGGCCATCTATGGTGGTTTGTGTGCTTTGGCCACCTTTGACCGGCAGGAGCTGCAGCGCAATGTCATCTCCAGCAGGTGGGTGGGGTAGAGGGGCATCCCTCCAGCCTGGTGCCCTTCCTGGGAACCAGGGTCCTGCTGGCCCTGTAGGGCAGGGAGGGCAGGCAGAGGTGTGGGGCTGAGTACCCTGGCACCTGCAGTTCCTTCAAGTTATTCCTGGAGCTGGAGCCACAGGTCCGAGACATCATCTTCAAATTCTATGAGTCCAAGTATGCATCGTGCCTGAAGATGCTGGATGAGATGAAGGTGGGGGCAAGGGCATGGCCACATGGAGGCTGGCTGGGCTTCTACTAAGGAGGCCCCTGACCAGCTCTCCTCTCCAGGACAATCTGCTCTTGGACATGTACCTGGCTCCTCACGTCCGGACCCTGTATACCCAGATTCGCAATCATGCTCTCATCCAGGTAAGTACAGGGCAGAGGATAGGCAGGGCAAAGGCGCAACCAAGAGTGGCAGCCGTCACCTCTGTTCCACAGTATTTCAGTCCCTACGTTTCGGCGGACATGCACAAGATGGCCACAGCCTTCAATACCACTGTGGCAGCCCTGGAGGACGAGCTGACACAGCTCATCCTGGAGGGACTCATTAACGCTCGCATCGACTCACACAGCAAGGTGGCTGCAGGGTGAGGTGGGGTTGAGGGTGGGAGTGAGGGATGCTGGGCCCCACTGAGCCTGCACCTACGCAGATCCTGTATGCAAGGGATGTAGATCAGCGCAGCACCACCTTTGAGAAGTCCCTGCTGATGGGCAAGGAGTTCCAGCGACGGGCCAAGGCCATGATCCTGAGGGCAGCTGTGCTGCGCAACCAGATCCATGTGAAGGTGAGTGGCCCAGGGGCCTGGGCATTGGGCAGCAGCCATACAGCGGGTGGCTGAACTTTTCCTTGTCCACCAGTCTCCTCCCAGAGAAGGGAGCCAGGGAGAACTGACGCCAGCAAACAGCCAGTCGCGTATGAGCACCAACATGTGAGGGGTGCATGCCTCTCTCTGCACCACGGAAGGACGTAGCACCTTGGCTGCCTGCCTGCTCATCTTGAGAAGAGGCTCCATGCTGCCTGCAGCCACTGGATGGCAGCCCATCCACCCCCTTGCACTCTTTTGGGGCCTGGGGAAGTGGTTGGCGTGGCCGTTGTAGCCGTGTAGGACTGATCCTTTGGGCTTTGTCCCACAGGCAGACTGTAGTATATGGTCCTGCTAGGAAGCACAGGCCCCAGAGCCCCTCTGTCCCTGTGTTGTCTGGAGTACAGGCAGCTCTGCCAGTCCATTAAAGAGCAGACTGACCCATTGCCCATGGCTCTGCTCCTTCCTGCTTCCAAGTACCCGTCAGAGGTTCTCCCTGGAGTTGGGGTTTGGGACAGGGCTCCATTCTGCCACTGTGCTTCTCCTGGGTTTCGTTGGGGAGGCAGGCAGGGACCTGCGCCCTTGCTCTTCTCTGCAGACACAGCTCTCTTCCTGGCCAACCAAGGAAAGCAGCTAGTTCAGGCTTAGGGGGTCCTGATGGGGCTAGGGGATGTTGGTCTGTACACACACCTTTTAATGGTTTATTATGTTTTGAGAGCACAAGCTGTGAGGACAGGGCAGGTCCAGCTTGAGCCCCCAGCGTAGGCCAGGGAGGACATCACCTCTTCTGTCCAATAGCAGGAGGTTCCCTGAGTAAAGGCTTGTTCTTAGTGTGAAGTATCCAAACTTCAGCACAGTCCTGGGGTATGGGCAGCTCCTGTGGGCCCCTCAGGTCAGGGCACTGCCTATGACTTCAGACAAGGTACCTGGTGCTCCAGACCCCACCTGCGAAGGCTCCGGCCGCACAGGCTGGGTTCCCTTCCAGGCCAGAGATTTTTCCAGTTTGGTTTTAAAAAGCAATCCGTGACCTGGCAGAGATAGTGCAAGAGGGACCTGGGGTTAAAAAGGCAGCAGCCTGCAGGTGGAGGAGGGACTGTGGCACAGCCTTCCTCACCTGGGCAGTCTGCTGTCTCCTTGAAGGCTCGTTTCTTGCAGCAGCCACGGCACAGGTTGAACACACACCTGTTGCCCTGGCACAGGAAAGCTGGTGAGCCTGAGGCTGACAGCCTTCTCAGACCTGGGCTGGCTATCTGGGAACCTTGGCCAGATGCCCGTGGCCTGGAGATAGCCCCAGGAATTACAACACAGAAAAGCACTGTCCCTGCCCAGTTCCTCCCACCTTGCTGGACTCAACCATTCCTACTGTAGGCCTGGGCAGGGGGTGAAAGAGGCTGTTACTCCTCTGAGCAATGCAGGGAACCCAAGAGGGATCAGTGGGTGTTATCAAGCCCACCCACCTGGGAACTGGCACACCAACGGAAAGATCATCTCACCTTTGGGTTCCCACACTGGTCACACTTTGCGTATTTTGCTGGATAAAAAAAAAAAAAAGTGCTGACTGAATGGTTTCATGTCTGAGGCAGGCCAAAGCAGCCAACTGGCTACTACCCACCTCCACAAAGCTCACTGGGCAGTAGCAGGGTAAGAGGCTGGGAAGGACAGAGGATGTGAGCTGCCTGTGTCTGCCTTTCCCTTTGTGAGGACTGGGTGACAGAACACAGTGGGTACAGTCTTGCCAGGAAAAGTAACAGAAAACAGGTGGCCACAGGAGAGACTGGCCTCATTCCACCCTCCACCCTCCACAGCAAAAATGCCAGGACAGGCTACATCAGGACCTCAGCATCAAGTAACACTTTTTGTGGCAGCTGAAGGCACAATGTGGCAGGTAGGGACTGTTGGCCGGCTTCATGGTGCCAGCCCTCAGAAGTGTTTGTGTTTGGGAGCTCTTCTCCCCATGCTTATAAAGCTGTCAGACAAAGCTGTTTTGGGGAGTTCCTACCAGATGGCTTGGGAAATGGGAAGCAAGCCGACCAAGTGTGGGCCGCCACGGGATGCTTAGGGCCCCAGGACTTGGGCTATGGCAGTGTGAGCCTTGAGTCAAAGCCAGAAAAACTTTGAGTAAACATGTCTGTCTGCTGGAAAGTGGGGAGCCCCCTCATACCACTTAATCTGACCACTGTCCTGCATAGAATCTACCTAGCAGCTAGGCTCCTGAGACTCCCAACATGTTCCCCCAGGCTGCTGCTCATGCTGCCCCTTGATAGGGTTGGGTACACACAGGCCCTGATCTGCTGACAGCTCTACTGGGGACCAGGGCAAAAACCTGCCCTATATCCATGGCACCATAGCTAAAGACAGCTAAGGCCCTGTACGGGGTGCTGGTGCTCAGACTTGAAGTCCCGAGTGGGATTTCCCAACCTTCAGTGTTGTAGACAGAGCCTGGGTTCTGCTCCCAGCAAAAGGAAAGACAGCCAAGAAGAGGTTTCCTGGGTGGCCCTGGCCACTCCTCCCTGGCCCAGGGGGCAGGAGTGGTGCTTACGTTTCAGAGAGGGGTCAAAGGTCTTGTGGGGGTTCCTCAGCTGCTTCTTCTGCTTGTTTTTGGAAAGGCCATCTGTGTTGCCCTCCTCTTCCTCCAAGGCTCGCTTGCTGCGGCTACCACTGTTCTCTTTGCTCCCCTCCCTTGGTCTGAAGGGAAAGGGCAGTGGGCAGAGATAAGGACACCCACAGAGCTGACCAGCTGGTCAGTCAGATGGACTGGAACTTGGGTCCAAGTGAGGAGGGGTGAATGGCCTGTGTAGGCACTGGTGCCTAGCACACATGTGGGTCCCCCTGGACCAATGGGTTGAGCCAGCACACAGTCCACAGTGGAGTGAGCGGCCACACAGGATGGGCCCACAGGACAGTTACACTTCCCCATCTGAACTATCAAGACCCTACAGCATGGGAAGGTATCTCACTGTACACCATAGTCTCCCTCCTCTCTTTTCCCTCAAAAGCCTTCAAGATGGTGTGCATTCCTCATTAGCTCACCCTGGCCGGACATAGGGCTGGCAGATCCAGTGGAAGAAAGGCAAGTCGCCTGCTGGCTGTGCTCCCTCCTCCTGCCTAGACATGTCCTCCTGTGAAAGCACACAGGCCCCATCAGACCTGAGCCCCTGCACACCATACAGCTAGGCTCCTGCAGCCCGACACCTGCCTGACACCGAAGCTTCAGTGCATGGCTCACAGCAGCAATAGCTTCCAGGGTCTTCACTTTGGCGAGTTCATCTCGAAGTTGCTGGTGCACCTGCAGCCTAAGGCAAATACTTGTCACAGGAGTTGGGCCTGGTCCCTGGCTCCCAAACACAACTGCATAGCTATTGTCCCTTTCACATAGATTCTTCCCATTCTCACTTGAAGCCTTCAGCATTCAGCAGCAAGCTGAGCTGGGGAAAGCCCTACATATGCTGGGCAGCCCCTAATAGCTCTGTGTCTAGGACTCACGTGTGGTGCCACAGCTTGAAGAGGTGGGCACGGACACAGGACAGTGGGCATGGATGCAGCTGCACAATGTCCAGATACTCCTCTGCCAGCTCCCACACTGCAGGACTCCGGCCCTCAAACAGGGCAGGGTTATGCAGGTTGCCTTCTGGAAAAGAAAGGATGCTGATGGAGGGGGGCTCTGGACACCATCTGGCCACTTCCCCCTCAGGACAGGACAGGACCAGCCACCCAGGACAGAAGAGAGCCAAGGTACATATCTGCTCACCTGCACTCATGACACCTTGTACACCTGTGTCTTGGATGCACCGTTCCACATCCTGCAGGCTCCGGATATTCCCATTGGCAAACACTGGGATGGCCACAGCCTTCCTGTCCAGACAGAAAGGCCTGACCCTGTACCCCACCAGAACAGTGCCAGCCAGGAGATGGCAAGTGGCCCCCAAACTCCACCTTGACAGGGCCCATCACCTATCACCTGCTAACTGCACTGCTGCCTCCACCTCTACCTCTACCCAGCAGACCCTCTAGCTGCTCATGGAACATCAGGTGTTCTGGACACCCCCAAAGTAGCACTGGGTTTATGTCCTCCCCCTGCCAAGAAGCCCAAAGAACTGAAGGCTGCAGCCCACTTACCGCACAGCCTTAATGTGCTCCCAAGATGCTGCTCCTGACAGCGGCCCCTTCTGCTCCTTGGTACGCCCATGCACAGTCAGTAGCTAAGACAGACCAGCGTCCACCTCAGTCTTGCTCCAAGTTAAGCCCTCAGACTGACTCCCAGAGGCCACCTCCCTCAGTTTCTCATTTCTCCAGCTTGGTAGAAAAAAGGCCATCCTGGGCCTGGCCCAGTCCCTGGCCCCAGAAGTCCTGGACGCTTTGCCCTTGGAAGAAGCTAGGTTGTGCCCAGAATGCCCATGGTCAGTCCCCAAGCCAGAAAGATAGCATTCTTGTTATCTAAATCTGAGGACTGGGGCGTGTGTGCATGAGAGAGAGAGAGAGAGAGAGAGAGAGAGAGAGAGAGAGAGAGAGAGAGAGAGAGAGAGAGATATGAGAACAAGCAAGTGAGCGAGCTCTGGCAGGGCAGGGAGAAGCTAGTATTCCTGCCTAGGCCTTGCCTCAAGATAACTGAGACTCCTGTCTATTCCCAGAAGCTAAGTGCCTAGAGGGGGGTGCTAGGAACAGTCTCCTCCAGGCTTACACCAGGCCAGGCTCAATACATAGAGGACACACAAGCAGCCAAAAAGGCACTGGCTGGCATCTGGGGCACCAGGGACATGGTGGCAAGCCTGAAGGGTCTCCCTAAGGGAACAATGCCCTAGAGCCAGGATGAGAGATCTCAAAAGGCAGTGACTCACAGCCTTTAACACAGGAAATGTCCTGGTGATGCCCCACTCCCACCCCTCCATACAAGGGAAGAGGGGTTAGGAGGGCAGGAGCCTGCTCTGCTCTACTGATGCTCGACAGGAAGGGCTGGCTGGTTGCTGGAAACTGAAGACTGGCTGGCTGCTTGGTGGGACACCCCCACCTGCAAGCCTGGGCCCTCACCTGGCAACCGGCCTTCTCCAGCATCTGGGCGTACCTCACAGTCTTGTCAATCTCAGGGAAGACACGGATTTTGCACGTGACAGGAACAGAGAGTTTCTCATGGGCCAGCTGAACTGGGAAGAGACAAGGCTTCTAAGAACCATGGTCCTGCTATAGGCAGCTAAGTTCACATCCCAAGCCAAGACAGATGCCAGCTTTCTTAGAAAACTGCTCTGGTTGTCACCTGAGCTGGCCTTTCCCTTGTCCTCACAATTTTTTTCCCCAATCAGATTTTATTGGTACATCTCAGATATACATAATGATCACATACATTATAGTCCTCACACATTCTTGTACAGGCCAATGCCAGCTCCCAGTGATGGCAACTGAGAGACCAGCTCTGTACCCTAAGACTTGGGGGGCTGAGATGGAGCATGATTATTCTCTTGCACCAAATCTAATGGCTTTCTAGGGGGTGGGGCTGTACTCTCCATAGCCATCTCCTTCTAGCAGAGATTGTTGCACCAAAGTGACCCTAGGACATTGATACCACTGTCCTATCCTGAACCCCTGCAAGGGTGTCCCTGAGCCTCCTTCACCTTCCCACAAGGTGGACTATGGCCAGCTTACTCATTCTTTGGAGCAGGTCCCACTCCTCCTGCAGGAAGGCACCATAGTGACCTGTGGAGGACAAGTGTGGCCCTCTGACACAGGTGTCCAGACTGCCTAAAACACCCCCTCTTAATGTGGCCTGCTGGTCCTCCTGTATCCACACAGGCCACAAATCCTCTGCCACACAGCCCCTTGGGATACCAAAGACCTTACATTAAGGCCATATGCCGAATAGTAGCCCTCATAGCAACCCCAAAAGTAGTGTGTCTGATGGGGGCAAGAGGACAATCATGGAATCCAGCAGTCTATCAGCATCCAATTTGGGTGCTCTCCCTGCTGAGCTGCACAGAATATACCTGCCAAGTGGTCTAGGACCAGAAGCACCAGCTGAGGGGCCCAGTGAGGAAGAAAAGTCTGTGACCACTGTGGCCTGAGGCAAGGTGCAGACCTCCTACTGCCAAAGCATATTTATCTGGGGAGGAGGTCAAGAAAGAAGTAGTGAGCCCCGACAGATCCTATTGCCTGAGCCAGTGGAACCTGACTGCCAGCCCCGGTGTGAGAACATAGGAGCTGTTCAGTGACCACTGTGATCAAAAACAAGAGCCAGCTGTCCCCAATGCCCACTCCCACCCAGAAGGTGGGACAGAGCCTCCACCACAAGAACCTACAAAGCGAACTCACCCCTCTTGGCTATCATCTGTGGGCAGCCCAAGTTCAGGTCAATGGCATCACAGTAATCCTGAGCTAGGAGAGCCGCCTGGACAAACACGTCTGGGTCATTGGCACAAAACTAGAGAAGACACAGAAGTCACCTACAAGCCAAGCCAGGCCCTGGTCCTTCACTGCCCATGTTGCCCAACCCTGTGAGGGGTTCCACCATGACCAGAGAGAGTGTAAGTGTAGTTCAGAGGTTCACCATTGGTGTCCTGTCCTACACCAGGTTGCATAATCCCACACTAGGAGTCACAAATCTACAGGATTCCTTTTGATATATAACGGAAGACATGAATGCTGACTTCTAAAGAGCAGAGTTCACTGTTCTGGGAAGGGTGAGAGAGAGAGCTTTGAATTTCCAGTCTGTCACCCAAGCTGTCCCTCCACCAAAGGGAGTCCCCGGGGAAGGGGTGCCTTCTGGCTGCCATGTTTTGCTCTAACGTCACTGCTGGGGTTGTGTGGATCTCTCCTTCTTTGCACACAGGAAAGGCTGAGGGTCCCTGCCCCAGGCAGAAGGAAGAGTGCCCCACAGGGCCCGGGGCTGGGCTGCCATCTGGTGGGAAGGGCTCTCTGCCCACCTGCACGATGAGAGGCCGGTCCTCAGGGCACACATCACAATACAGGTTCTCCTTCCGGTAGTTGGCATCACGCACGAAGACCTGGGCATGCAGCATGGGGGTGTAGCAGAGCTGTGCCCCGTGGCGGCGGCTCAGGAGCCTCCAGGCCAGCTCGCTCTGGTCCACCATAGGCGCCACCACGTGGCGGGCGCCTCTCAGGGTGCGGCTCCAGAACTCGAAGCCCTGCAGCTTGGGCATGGTCTCCACAATGAGGGAGGGAGAGGATCAGGCTCTGCCGCGGCCACGGAACTCTGCCTGAGGAGCCAAACCGGGTGAAGGCACAGGGTTCAACTGCGAGGGAGTGACCGCTCCTGACCGCTTGGCCACATGCACGGGCAGGTGTCTGGCGGATGCCTTACCCGGGACGCGTGTGGAGATGACACGGCCGGCTCTGAGCGCTGGTCGTGAGTGAACAGTGAGTTGTGACCCTCCACGCCGGTCCTTGCGAGGCCTGCGCCGCCCTTCTCACGGGTAGGAGCACCCGGGCGCGCCGGCCTCCCCTCTGCTCCGCCCGAGAGCCTCCAGCCCTGGCTCCCGGCCTCGGAGCCACGGCGCCCCCGACTGGCGGTGAGGGCTCGTCTTGGGCTCACTTCCCGCACCTTGGGGTGCGGGACAGGCCGGGTTTGACCGGAGAGCCAGCGCAGACGGGCACGCTTTAACGAAGGAACACGACAGCTCCCTAGCTCCCGCCTAATGCGCAAAGCTGCCGAGAGGACCCTGTGGAAAGCGACTGGCAGCCTGCGCCGGGTCTCGACTACACCGCACCGCCGGAAGTGCCGCGGCCGGAAGCGCGCTGCCCGAAATTCTCGGCGGTGCAATGGAAAATGTGACCCCCGGAAACCGGGCCCGGTGCTGAGGAGTCCGGGCCGGGAGGGTGTCGGCGGCGACCGCGTGGCGAGGGACCTGGCTGCGGGTGTGCGCGGTCTTGGGCAAGACCCACAGGGATTCGGAATCCTCGAGTTACTGTGAAAAATAAACCCCCGGAGAATTCTGACCTACCTGTCCTTCCCACCAGCTGATGTGTGCCACTTTTTGTCCCTGCCTCCGATGGAGTTTTAAATGGTGTGGCTCTACTGATTATGATATAGGGGACTGAAACTCCCAACCTGAGATACCTGGGTCGTTTGTGTTCTCTAAAACCGAAGAATGAAATTTAGGAACAATGGAGGTTAACAGCAGAATATATTTATTAGGGGGCAAGAAAGCTTCTGTTCGAGAGAGGGACAGAAGAGGGATCCAAGCGGGTTGCTCGCATATCTGCCATTTCTAGGGATTTTTACAGGGCAAAATCATGAAGTGAGGCAGGTCTAAGGTGGAAAACACGGAAACTCGCACATGAGGTGGGGCAAAACTACGGCCCACCAATAAGGTTACAGCGCAACTGCTGAGGTAAAGTTGATTAAATCTAGGGCCAAACGGGGGAAGCTAGTCACGTTTCAAGCAGGACAGGGGCTTATCCTGTAGGGTTGGATTAGTGACTCTTCCTGGCTTCCTCAAAGCGATAATCCATCCGGGGTGCTTTTCTTTAGGGAGGTATGCATTTGTTTCATCTTTGGTCTTTAGGTCTGGCCCCAGCAGGAGCATCAGTCTCTCTCACAATTGCAAGATACCTTGTCTTCTGTGCTGTCTCCTTTGAGGGCCTAGCCCTGTCTGACTGCCTCAAGTATTTCTGTCTCACTCAGCTGCCTACAACAATAAGAAGACTTTTATTTATTTGTTTTTATTGGTTTCTGAGACAGGATCACGCTATGCAGTCCAGGCTGGCCTTGAACTCTGGAGATCTTTCTGCCTCAGCCTCCCAAGTGCTGGGATCACAGGCATGTGCCATCATGCCTGCCTTCTAGCCTGATTGATTGATTGAGACAGGGTCTCACTATGCAGCCCAGGCTAGCCTTGAACTCACTTATGTAGCCCAGGCTGGCCTTAAACTGACTGTCATCCTCCTGGCTCAGCCTCCCAAGTGCTGGGGTTACAGGTGTACATGCTGGACAGCCTGGGCAATTTTGGATGACCCTGTCTCAAATTTTAAAAATAACTGGTATGGTGTCACACCTATAATCCCAGCACTTGGGAGGCTGAGGCAGGGGGATCACAGTCAGTGATCAAGGTCATGTGGAGGCCTTGTGCTCCATAGTTACATAGTGAGTTCAAAGTCAGCCTGGACTACGTAGCAAGACCTCAATGAATAAATAAATACATACTTTAAAATTTAAAAATTGCCAAGGCTGGCATTGAATTTGGAATCCTTCTGGTTCAATAGCCTTAATAGCTTGGATTTCAGGGGTATGTCACTGTACTCAGTTGAAAGATTTTTTTTTAAGTGTCTGATGACAGAGTCATCAAAAGACCCACATGGAAATTCTGGAGTTAAACAATACAATAACGGATAACAAATTCAGGAGGGGGCTCAGCAGCCAAAGAAATAGTCATCTTGAAAAAAGATAAAAAGTGGGGCTGGTGAGATGGCTCAGTGGTCTAAAGCACCTACTTAGAACAAGCTTAGCAAAGCGCAGGGACCGTGGTTCAATTCCCCAGCACCACATGCCAGCCAGCCCTGCCCCCTGGTGTGCTGAGCTGGCCACACACACACACACAAATAAAAATATTTTTAAAAAGATAAAGAGGGGCTGGTGAGATGGCTCAGTGGTCTAAAGCACCTACTTAGAACAAGCTTGGCAAAGCATGGGGATCATGGTTCAATCCCCCAGCACCACATGCCAGCCAGCACCGCCCCCTGGTGGGCTGAGCTGGCTACACACACACACACACACACACACACACACATAAATAAATAAAATTTAAAAAAAAAAAAAAGAAAAAGATAAAGAGTGTAGGAGAAAGGAATCTGTAAATAGGGAAAAGCTCAGTGTGCTTTCTGGATAATCCTGACCAGAAAGAGTTGCAACTGAAGAGAAAGCTAGAGGCAGCCAGATAACTCAGAGGACTAAGCTAAGCCCTGCCTAGGCAAACACAGGGGCCGGGCTTCCAGTTCCATGCCTGGCACCACATGCTGTGCTGGCCCTACTCCCAGGCACGCTGAGCCAGCGACTGAGCCTGGGCGTGGTGTCGCGCCTGTAATCCCAGCGCTGGTGAGGCTGAAAATAGGAGGATCACTACGGGTCCAAGCTGCGTAGGTAGTGAGAAACTGCACAAAAAAAATATGAGAGAGAGAGAGAGAGAGATTGGAGTCCTAAATTAGCCTAGCAGACAGTCACTTAAAAGACGGCCTATCTATCTATCTATCTATCTACCTATCTTCTTTCACTGTATTTCCTCTTACTTAATTTGTTAATTTGGCCTTATATATATAGAACCTGATGGGCAAAAAAAAAAAAAAAAATTAAATAAAGACCACTTTAAAATTTGCATATAGGGCCAGCATAGCTTAGCAGACTAAAGTGCCTGCTTAGGCAAGCTTGGGCAAAGCTCAGGGACTCCGGTTCCATCCCCAGTACCACATGCCTTGCCAGCTCCACCCCCAGGGCAGGCTGAGCCCACCAGAGTCTGGGTGTGGTGGTGCACACCTGGAATCCCAGCGCTGGGGAGGCTGAAAGCATGAGGATCACCATGAGTGCAAGCTGCATAGTGAGACCCTGCAACAACCAAATACATTTAAAAAAACCCCAAACCAAAAAACAATTTACATATAGGCCATACGGGAGAAGGTCTAGAGGTCTTGGGGCCTAGGAGCCTGGTGAACCAGATTATGACAAACTCCAAGTAGAGAGAAAGGCTCTTGAACCCCTATAAAAGAAGCCCAGGAATAAAGGGTTCACACATCTTCCATCTTTCTGGAGCCTCCTACCCTAATTTGCCAGTGTAGCTATTTCCTTTCACCTTTTCTTTGCATTGTTCCTGGTTCACTGATACAGAGTTTACTGGTCCTAGTAACCTGTCCACCAGCAGCAGAGTAGCGGTACTCATGGCTTGGATGTAACAAAAGTATGAAATCTAAAAAAATACAGAAAGGAAAAGAAATAAACACAGCCTTGGCAAACCATGGGATACTATCAAGCATACCAGTGGACAAATAACAACGCATAACATTGCTGGAGGGAAGAGAAAGGCAAAGACCAAAGAATCCATGAAGGGGTTGGCCTCAAACTATGGACTGATGAAAAATGTTCAAACCCAAGAGTCAGCAAACTTAAAATAACACGCACAGAAATCCACACCTGGCACCTCATAGTCAAGCTGCCAACAGCCTTGAAATCAGGAAGTAAAAAAACCCTGACCAGACAGGAGGGGAGGACAGCGGCAATAGCAGGGGTCTTGTGTTCAGAAACACTGGAGTCTACAGCCAAACCACCCCAAACGCGCCCAATCTTGTCTGATCTTGGAAGCTAAACAGGGACAGGCCTGGTTAGGACTTGGATGGGAGAAACACCGGAGGCTGGAGGGCAAGGGATATATAAAATTCTAAAAAGAGAAATAAGCACCACATCTGGCTAGGCCCCCGCGCCTAGTAGTACATGTAGCTGTACCGCCCTCACTGCGCTAGCACCCTTCAAAGCCTGCCTTAGGAGTTTATGAGGCTTTGCGGCCATATCTAGGCTGACCTTGTGAGGCCTCACTCTGCTGTCTGACCTGGGTCTGGTGAAACAGACCTGACTGTGGCTCTAATGTGGGGCGCTGATCTTGGGCTCCCCCTGGTACCTGGCCCTGGCCCTGGCCCTGCAGGGGATTCACATTCAGCTCATCCCACCACAAGACAGGGGTGGAAACAGGACTGCCAGACTCACGGATCCCTGGAGGGGAGACTCCAGAATCTGCAGGGTGGTCCTCCTTCCCTGCCCACTGAGAAGGAATGAGGAAGAGGAGGGAGAAATATACAAGGGGAGTTAGGAGGGGTCGCTTGGGTTCTGGGGCAAATGCTGATCTGTTCCAAGGAAGCATCAGGCTGGGTGTGGTAGCACACTCAGCACTCAGGAGGCTGAGGCAGGAGGATGGTCACAAGTTTGAGGCCAGTCTGGGTTACATAGTGAGTTCGAGCCCAGCCTGAAAGCATCAGGCTGATCGGGGCCCCCAGGCCTCTGACAGGGTAGATTCCTCCCCACCAGTTCTCCTCTCTGGCTGCCTTCTTGGCCACTTGGGCACAGCAACACCCTAGTCCTGAAGCCTGCGTGTGTGCCACTGGGGAAGTGAGTCTGTCTCTCCTTGTTTGTTTTCCCTCTGTTGCTTCAGTTCTGCCTTTTCCTGGGACAATAAAATGTGATTGT